AGACACCACTTACCACTTTTGTCCAGCCAGAATATTTACCATTAATGACAACTCGCTGTACTCTATCCTTAAGCCAATGTTCTACCCAAGAACAATAATATTCATCTAGACCATTTTTTTTTAGTGTGAAGACTAACCTATTGTGAGGAACCGTATCAAATGGGATAAAACTTACCAGGAAAGGTTAAAGCAGGGGTTCTCAACGTTAGTCCTCAGGACCCCCTACCAGACCAGGGTTTAGGGATTACCTGGGTGTTTAGAAAAAGAAAAAAAAAACACCTTAGAATCTAAGGTGTTTTTTTCCCTTTTTCTAAACACCTGAGACACACTCAGGTAATCCCCAAATCCTGGACTGGTAAGGGGTCCTGAGACCTTTAACCCTGAGGTTGAGAACCCCTGGGTTAAAGGATCTTAACATGTATAGTTTGGAGGAAAGACGAGACGGGGGGATATGATAGAAACATTTACATATATAAAGGGAATCAACACAGTAAAGGAGGAGACTATATTTAAAAGAAGAAAAACTACCACAATAAGAGGACATAGTCTTAAATTAGAGGGACAAAGGTTTAAAAATAATATCAGGAAGTATTACTTTACTGAGAGGGTAGTGGATGCATGGAATAGCCTTCCAGCTGAAGTGGTAGAGGTTAACACAGTAAAGGAGTTTAAGCATGCGTGGGATAGGCATAAGGCTATCCTAACTATAAGATAAGGCCAGGGACTAATGAAAGTATTTAGAAAATTGGGCAGACTAGATGGGCCGAATGGTTCTTATCTGCCGTCACATTCTATGTTTCTATGTTTCTATGTAAATGCCTTGGCAAAATCCAAGTAGATCACATCCACGGCAACACCCTGATCTATACTTCTACTTACTTCTTCGTAGAATGCAATTAGGTTAGTTTGACATGACCTATGTTTCATAAAACCATGCTTATTATTGTTAATAACAAAGTTCTTCCCAATGAATTCCTGAATATTATCCCTTAATAGCCCTTCAAATATTTTCCCAGTCACAGAAGTTAAGCTCACAGGTCTATAATTTTCAGGCAAGGATTTTGAACCCTTTTAAATATAAGAACAACATCTGCCTTCCTCAATTCCTCAGGTACAATACCTGAAACAAAGAATCTTGAAAAAATTAAATACAGAGGTTCACTTATTCCTGACCTTGGCGTGTTTGACTATTCTTATCTCTCATTCCTACGTTAAGTCCGGCCACTTTAAGGTCCGGTATCTGTGTTCGCCTTTATTGTTCTCTGGTTTGCGTGTTGGGGAGTATAACCTTGACAGTACCAGAGGCTGTGCGGGGGAGCATGCTACAGGAGATCCAATAAATGATCCAGCTAGGAGTCATCAAACCGTCCATGAGTCCTTGGGCCTCCCCCGTAGTCCTAATCCTAAGAAAGACTAGGAAGCAGCGATTGGCGGAGGCACAAAGTAGGGGTGCAAGGCAGCCCGCCACAGTACTCTCCTGGAATGTGTGTTTCCCCTTTGTGATTTTTCCCCGTTTTGTAAAGGGCAAAACAATGTTATGGGACCCTCAGGTTCATTTTAAGAAAGTCTAACATTTAAAGAATTTGAAATGAATAAAACATACATTAAAAACTTTTAATGTAAGTGAAAATTGTTGATTTTGAAATCAAATCGAAATTTCCTAGTTACTTACTAAGTCCAATTTGTCTATTTTTGCTCTAAATATCCTGTTTAGAAATCTGCTAGTATGTATATGCATGTTCAACATTATAGCAGAAAAACAGTGACACCTAGTGTACACTGTGCATCTTTACACTATGCAAATCAATACATTGATTGATTGTAGTTTGGACAGAAGATTTTGTTTTTAAGTGTGTAATCCCAATGAAGTGAAAGACACAGCACTCTGATGGTCCTCCTGGTGCAAGCAGGACCGAGTTCAGCCAAACCTCACTTGGAGAATAAAGGATGGTCCAGACAAAGTAAGTTTATTAGAGCAGAAAGAAGCTGTTGTTTCTGTTTTTGTTTTTGCCTTTATTACCACTGCAGTTGCTGTTGTTGCTGCAGTTGTTAATCCTATAGTTTGCTTTGATGTTACCCCTGTTGTTGCTGCATTTGTTGCCCCTGTAGAACTCTCTGAGGTTATCATTGATTTTGCAACAGTTGTGATGGCGTATTTCTGCTCCAATAATCCTGTTTAACAGATTTTAAGACATGTTTGCAGATACAGCTATCTAGCACCATAACTATTATATATTATTTGCTTTATAATGTAAGCTCCTTGGTCTTCTTGTTCTGCACTCTGTATAAATGTTTAGATAATTTATAGTCTTAAATTCTATACTTATGATTAGACAATGAGGAGCCAGGCAAGGCCTAGGCAGAACAGGAACATGTGAGTGTGAGGGTAGTGTATACAAAGGGATGTGATAAAGTGGTCTTGGGACAGTGGGTGGAGTAGTAAGGGGTAGATTGGTGGGGTAGTATAAATAGGTTACAGGATAGCAGCCATCTTAATTACCAGTTGGTAACAGCTTGGTAATTGCTGGTTGTTGAGCTCGTTATACCTGATTTCCAAGTGCTGTTTGCGGCCAGGGTATGGATACCGAACGGAGCGGTGGTCGGACCTCCAGGTGTGTAAGTAGACTTAAAGGTGTCTCCCGGGGGCAGAGGCCTCCCCTCCTGAAGTGTGGGTGGTGACTGGGAGTAGTGTGAGGCATCTGTCTCCTACCCCTTCCCGTAGTAGGTCTGCTAGACCCCTGCCCTCCCTCTTGGTGCCGTCTTTACTTACCGGGCACCCCTTGCCTTCTATGTACCCCTGGGATGGGCCTATTTTATTGGGTTAAGGGGGGAGGGATGTGATTTCACCTGTTGTTTCTCCCCAGGTGGCTCCGGACTGAGTCATGTTCCAGGCCTCATTGAGTGCAACACAGGTTTCGCTCCCTATGGAGGTGGCAGCTCTGGAGTTACGGCTCCGATACTCCAATCCACTCCCGCACCCTCTGGTGGGTCCGGTTGTTCATTTTTTCATTGGTACATGGTTGGGTGCCTGGTGGGGGTAGACTGGGCTTTTCAGGGGCCTGGGATTCCTCAATAGGGTGCCTGAGGGGACTCTTGGATAACTGGGAGCGTAGTTCTGTGGCCCCATCCTTGGATGCGCAAGTTAGGGCGGGGTGGGACCCTACTTTGGTTACTTCATCTGGGGCGCTGGAGGTGCCGGTCCCGGATGGGTTGCTGTTAGCCTCCGCTCCAGTGGTCCCAGAATCCTCCCAGCCCACGGTGGTGCCAACGGGCAGGGAAGTTGCGCTGGCCCACATGGTGCCGCCTATATGTGTTGGTCAGGTCCCCTGGGGCTGCATTTGCGCCAGGAGGTGCGGGACAAGATTTGGAAGGAGGAGTTTGTTGAGATCTTTTCCTTGCTTCCTTGGAGGATTTGCCCCCTCCTGATAAGTAGGCTAAGGTCTCTGAGAACAACAAAGAAAAGTTTCTGTATCATAAAATCCCCAAACGTAGGAATGAGATCAGGGCCTTTTCGATCCTGGCCAGTGTCAGAGGGGAAAAGGCGCTTGAGAATTCTCAGCCCTGTGCTGTTATCAGGATACGGTCTGGACTGCATGTCGAGTATATGGGGGATTGAGCTGGTGGCGCAAAAATTAACAGTTTTGCCAGCGGATGGCGGTTCGCCCGTCCGTTGATTGGGGTCAAATGGATATTGGTTTGTGGCTGGTGATTATGAATCGCCCTGCCTCGCATCAGGGTGGTATGTCATTCTTTCTTGGGGGAGGAGGGAGGTTAGGGGAGGGGGGGCACGGTGGGACACTCCGCTGCATCGGGTGTGGGTGTGTTTACTCAGCCTCCCACCTCCCGCCCTGTCCCTCAGGAAGATTCAGTTGCGAAACCTGCAGTAGCTCTTCAGTAATCTGCAATTTGCGTGCCGGATTATTCCTTGGGAAGGGTGTTTAATCTCCCCCATCATTCCGTGCGATTCACTTGCCCATTGCACGATGATCTGGTGGTTTAGTCTGATCTGGTGGTTTGGCTTTCCTGAAGCTTTTTCCTATTGTGGTTGTGGTGGATATTTGGGGTGATCTCCTCAGGGATTGCAGGGTGATCTTCCACTGTGACAGGATGGGGGTTGTGCAAACCATCAACAATTTGTCTGCTTCCTCTCTTTCAGTGGTTTGGCTTCTACGACGCCTGGTGCTGTGCTGTTTGCTTCTGAATGTGTGTTGTAGGGCTGTACATATGCCTGAGCTTGCTAACCTCAGGTACAGTTATGGATAACGGACGTGCCCACTGAGCCAATAAATGGCTAGTGTGTAACGATACCTTACCTTTCCTCTGGGACCCGCGCAGCACGGAGTCCTTTTCGGGTGAGCGGCACAGCCCTTCTGACGCCGGCTGCTCACAACGCTCATTCATTTATAATACGGTGCCGTGGTCGGATAGTAAATGCTGACGTAATCCACACGCGGCCATGCCCCTGGACGTTTTGGGGGCGTGGTTTTAAAGCAATAAACCCGACACTATATAAGGGCGTCCCTGTCAGTTGTAAGGCGCCCTAGTGTGGTTGCTGTTGGTTCCTCTAGTGCTTATAAACTTCTTGAGTGTTTGTTTCCTGGTAATTGACTTTTGGCTTTCCATTTTGACCATTCTGCTCTCTGGTTCCCTGTACTTTGGCTAGGTTATATCGTTTATTTGTCTTCTGTACTCCCTTGATCTCTGCCTATCCCTTTGACTACTCTAAACGTTAGTCCGGCCACTCTAAGGTCCGGTATACGTTCTCCTCTGGGTTATACTCTGTGAGAAGGGGTCACTATCGTGACATAGTGTTTAGCATTACATCATGGAAGGCCCAAGAAAAGTCCTTGTACTTGTTGGAATGAGGGGGCAGCTGCCCTAAGTTATGTTTGGTTGGCAAGGTGGTACTCAGTGACATATCTATTTAATGAGTAATCATGTATATAGTGTTTATGTTAAAGTTGAAGTTTTAATATTTATATATTTAGAATACAACTGTGGCCTATTTACTCCAAAGCAAGTTTGTTGTGTTACATTTCAGGAATAAATGGTTGGATATCAATTATAAAGGTTTATGCCCATAAACAGTTACCCTTTACCTACATACAAGTTAATAACTGTGGAAAACCGCTGCACTTTATAAATAAAAACTAATAGTAACATTGATGGTGATAAACTGTCACTTTGATTCACAGAGAGTCCCTTTAAATGTGCTTAAGTATAAATTAACTTTGAATAATCTGAATAAAATATGTCAACAAACAAAAATGCGGCTCTACATAAAAACCAAGGGCATTGTATGTAGCACGGCTATGATTTAGGCAAAAAAAAAAAAGAAAAAACAGACACACAAACATATACTCAAAAATACCAATTTAAATTATTACATCAATATATTTACATATTTAACATAAGCTAAAATTAATTATACATATTTATACATGATGTGGTCACCCTCCTCTGTCTCATCAGAACATTAGATTTTAGAAAATGTAGCAAATTGTAGTAGAAAATCCAGGCAGGGAAAGAGTGGTGGCCAACGTAAAACCCAACAGTTGTTCAACTGGTCCCTTGGTTAAACCTCCAGCCATACTGGAAGAAATGTGATAGTTTAACTTATAGGTTGTGTGATCCCTTCATGCTGAGATGACACACTGTGAATTCTGTACAATGGCAAGTCGTAGGATCGCCTCCTCTTTTTCGCTAGCATCTGTAATGGACAAAAGTGAACATAATCATTGGACGTGCAATCGTTAGCAAGATTAGAGATGGATGTCATTAAAGCACCAGGTACACTGCTGGCTGAGATCATGGGAGTTATAATCCACAGAATCTTGTAGAAAGATTCCCCTCAAGGATGGCGTGCATGCTATGCCGTCCTTAGGCACCCGGCTCTAAACGCCGGCGGGCGTTATAACAAATCCCCACCATCCTATTCACTTACCTGGCATCCCAGGGAGTCCCAGTGCTGCCGATCCGGCCCTACTGGGAAATGTGATTGCGAGGTCCTTGAGAGGACCTCATGATCACATGGACAGAGTAGCCGTCCATAGCAGTGCCAGCAGGGGAAGTGCCTGGAATAACAGGTAGTCCCCCTGCTGCCTGAAATAAATTAAAATCAAGTTAAAACACAGTTTAAAATTAAATAATATATACTTAGATCTATATATCAAATATATATATATATATTTGTGGTCAGGGAAATATTGATGTTAGACCTTATGATTAACTAAAGTCAGTTGTGATGTGCCGAAAACCATGTACAGGCGGGCCTGTAAATAAAGAGGGCCCACCAAGATATAACTGAATAGAGGGAGTGGTGGGGGGGGGGGTGACCAGCCAACGCCAGCCCAGTATAGAGGTAGGTTTGAGTATATATAGGCTGGATTAACCCCTCCCAGAACTCCAGGCTCCGCCATCCCATTTGTGGTCAGGGAAATAAGCCGTATTGATGTTGGACCTTATGATTAACTAAAGTTGGTTGTGGTGTGCCGAAACCGATGTACGGGCGGGCCTGTAAATAAAGAGGGCAAAACGGATATTTAACCAAGCCACTTTAATACATGACAAATCATTACAATATACATTCAAACACAATTGTATACTTAAATTAGCTAATTCTAGAAAGGCTTGTTTTAGCTCTTTCTCTGGTTGTAGTATATATTGATTGTGAGCAAATGATTTCCATCGTCCCGGTCTTTTAATAATGTGTGCCGGTACATTTTTGCTTGAGGCAGCCGTTGCTGCTCCTATGCGAAATAAATGGCCTGTCGAGGCTGATGGATCGCTCCCTATTTTGTGATTTGGGTTTTTATGTCTGACATGTATTTAGACATTGTCAGTGGGTTGCCGTGTAAGGGTAGCAGAAGAGTGGTCTTCTCTTGACCTGTGCGGATTGACAGTGATAGATCTAGCAATTTGACTGGACACCACTTGTTGTCTGTGGTGAATAGCGGTATGTCGACGGGTGGCCCCATTGGTTTCTTTTAATCTATGCAGGGTCAAATTGTAATGGTCACCTATTTGTTTAGGTCTCCCATTGTGAGCATGTTGGTGGTGTCATTAGTGTTCCTTACGGTAAACTTGTTAGGCCGTCACACCCGTGAATTGGCAGAAACATAGTGGTTTTGAAGGTGTTGGTAGATTCTGTTACGAGAGGTTGTGGGTTTAATGTGTCGGATAAGGCTCTGAACCTTTCCCCATCTATCGGTTATCGTTTTGTAGGTTTGGGGCCTTCTAAATGCAGCATGCCTTTTAAGATTTTTTAATTGGTTCGATGATAGGATGTTACTGTGGCTGGGGTATGTGTTAGTGACATGTTTTTGTATGCCTGTTAGATAAAGTTTTATGGTAGTGTGTGCGAATTGTAGATTTAGGTGGCAAAAAGAGGTAAAAGCCACCATAATACCTAACGTGAATGGGTTTTGTATTTGTTATTCTGTGGTAAATCTGTTAAATAAAATGAGTGCTCGATTGTATGAACGTCTAGTGTTTGCTGATAGTGATGTTTGTGCCAGCATTCTCCCATGTGCCATTAGTGTTGTTACTCCAGGAGGAGTTCCCTGGAATAGCGGTGATCTGTTTGGGATTTACTTGGCTGTAGAATGTTCTTGATAGAAACCCTGTAGATTGCAACGAGAAAGGTTGCTGTATTGTGCCTGCCTGGTATGTGTTCACGGACAGGTGGAAATGTTGTACTACTGCTTACCATGTGAGCCTTCTAACTAGACTCATTATTGTCAGGGAAGAAGACCTGCCTTTGTTAATGATATTGCATGCTGCTGTGTTTGTCAGTGAGGCATTTTATGGTCTTCGCTGTAATAGCCACTTAGTCATGAACGCTGGCCAAAGTTATTGTTCATATTGTTTTGTATTTTTTTAAACAATTTTTTTCCTGGTGATGTCATCGTTGTGATAAGTTTTACTGTCTTGACAAACTCATATTCATGTTGAGCGTAGTCTCTTGAGTATGACAATACCGCCCATGCAGTGGTTTTATGTTGTTTATGCTGACACTATTGGGTATATTTCGAACAGGGCTGAAGTACCATTAGACGATGGCAGAGTTGTAGTTTCTATAGGCCATTTCTCTCTGAACCATTTGTTGCCAGTGATTGCTGAAACCCTAAATGTGCTGTTGCGGTCAGAATGAGAGAGGGCGTCAGCTGCTGTGTTGTGGTTGCCGTACGTGTTCATGATATGAGTGACATTGTTGTGTTGCTGCTGACCCTCTGGGTCTCCTGACGAGACTCCTTATTGTAAGAGATGGGGTGGCCGAGTCAAAGTCTCTAAGGGAGAACAAGTGGAGTACTTCTATACCAGTGAGAGAAGTCGGTTCCCTATGGACCGAAAATGTAGAGAAAGAACGTAAGTGAGCGTGAAAGTGCGAATTGATCGAAATGGTAGAATGTCTACCTAGGATGGACCATGCATGGTTCGTGTATAAAGTATCACATCTCTTGACGTCCCGAGACTAAGGGGTTTTGCGTACCCAATAAGCGTGACAGTGTAGAGTGATATATGAACTATAGAACCTAATCTATCGACATAAGCGTAGATGTAGTGAAGGACTTCTTACGTGTAATGAGGGTAAATAACTAGCACTAGCAGTGTCATATATACATTTAACAGCATATTACGAGAAAAACCCAATATGGCCTTATAACATGCATAAATATTCTAATAATGATAACTTATATATTGTATGTGAAATGTGAGCCTGTTAGGGGATCGTATAGTTGGGCCCGTGTTGGTCTAACATTAATTTGGATAGCACGGAGGTGGATAAGGGAGTAGTGACGTTGGAGAAGACAGAAATTTAAGGTAATAAAAGCGATGTTAATGATGAGCTAAAATGAGAGTATTTACTTGGAACGTAACGTGTGTTGATAATTCCGGCCTTGTGACCTGCTCCAAACGTATTGGAAGTAAGCAACGCCAATGACTATTATGTAACAATATAATTAAAACAACGTTTGTACAGGTTAAGATTAATGTAGTTTAACCAAGTGTATATCCCCGATTCTGAGAATGATGATACTTTAATCCAGTTTGTTGCGACACCTGGCCATATGGGGGACTACTATGATTTGTATGGTGAAAAATCAAAATGCTTAGGGAAGACCGAATGTGGGAAATTATGCCATGGCTGACTGACATCGACTGATTATTATAGTGAGTTAACTAGACTATTGGCGTGTGCTGTTCTAGAGCATGAATAGCTTGTTCGAGGTATATGTAGTCTTACAGTCATGGCCAGGAAGATAGTGCCTCTGCACTATTACACCTTCTCTCCCCTCAATGTACCTTTCAACCTATTCTCCCTTCCCCTTTTCTATCCTTTACTTCCTTTGAAGTTCACACTGTCCGCATATTTAAGCCCACTACTTAGGCTATTAATTGAACACTTTTCTTCCTGGCTACTTCTCATTCTCCATAATCTCAGTCTACTGCTCTCTCTCCTGGTGCTCCTCCTACCTCTCCCAGCGCCTTTTCAGTATTTCTTTCTCTGGCTTTTCCCCTTCTCCCCAAACCTTCTTTGTTGGTGTCCCCCAAGGTTCAATCCTTGGTGCCCTACTGTTCTCCATCTATACCGCCTCCCTTGGTAAACTCACCAGCTCCTTAGGCTTCCATTATATTATATGCAGATGACACACAAATCTACCTGTCCTCTCCTGATCTCTCTCCGCCCATCTTGACTCATGTCTCTGACTGCCTCTCCACGATTTTCAATTGGATGGCTGCTCACCTCCTTAAACTCAACCTGTCCAAAACAGAACTTCTGGTCTTTCCTCCCTCAAGTGCTGTTATTCCCATGTCTGTCTCCCTCCAAGTCAACGGTGCCACCATCACCTCTACCTCGCAGGCTCACTGCCTAGGTGTTCTCTTTGATTCTGACCTCTCCCTTACCCCTCATGTCCATTCAATCGCCAAATCCTGCCGCTTACAATTCAAAAACATAGCTCGCATAGCTTAACACCAGACACGGCTAAGGTGCTGGTTCTTGCCGTTGTTCTTTCTCATCTTGACTACTGCAATCCCCTTCTCAGTGGTCTTATGTGTTCCCAGATTGTACCGTTGCAATCTGTTATGAACGCGGTGACTGTAACGGATCACCTGGCACCCCGACTGGGTAGCACTTCCTGAGGACTCCAAGCACTGCAGCAGACACCAAAACAACCGAACCGTAGGAGCATATGAATGTTGTATACAGCCGAATAGGAAAAAAAACATGCGAATAGGTTTACACTCCTAGCAGTCAAACTGGAACAGCATACAATAAATCCTTCCTCAATAATGAGACGACACTTCACTTTGAGGGTTAAGCAGGAACTGACTGGACTGGCACATACAGCCTCTTTTATTCCCAATCCACAAACTTAGTACTGCCCACAGGGTTTTACAGAACAACCAATAACACGTACAATACACTCAGACACTCCCACACAAAATCCTCCCCTCTGCCTGTGATACAATTACTTTACACAATGGGTAATCTAATTATCACAGACAGAGAAATACAGTTTCATAAAATACATCACAGGGACCCCAACACAAGCAATAACCCCGTATATCCTTGGAACCGGGGGATCTGGGTGAACCACATATCCAAAATTCACCCAGATCCATTCAGTTCTTTGGAAGATACAGTTTAATGCAGATTCTGCAGAACATATACAGGCTAAATGAAAAACAATCACTGTATAATGTGTCCCCTGCTGTATAGTCCAAATACAGGCGAGAAGGCAACGTGTTGAAAAGTCCAAACAGTGTCTGTGAGTTAAAATGGCCACCATCGATTGTTCTCACCATGTGCTTCATCCATTGTTCTCACCATGTGCCTCTGATACAGGAAATGGAGGCCACCCAGTAACTCCACAGTATGTCCCCAGATGGTTGTTAAAGGGCCGGCAGCAGCACAACACAAATCCATTATGCCCAAATCATGTCTTTAAAGGGCAATACATCCCAGGGGCCATAGTCACATGGCAGGAGGCTGGCAATCAGTCTTCTCCAATGCCCAGTGGCGAGGTCGGTTTCGCCACAGTGACAAGGCTCATTTTCCTGTCTGCCCGCACCTCCCACGTCTCCCCCTCTGTCAGGCGCTACATTGGCTTCCAGTTAGATATAGGGCTCAATTTAAAATTCCGGTACTTGCTTACAAGTCCCTAATTAATGTTGCTCCAACCTACTTATCCTCCCTAATACACAAGTATGTCCCATAGAGGCCCCTGCGCATTGCTGAAGATGTACATCTATGCTCTGTCAATACTCCCACATCTGATGCTCGCCTCCAAGACTTTTTCAGGGCTGAACCTTTTCTGTGCAACTCCCTTCCCTTCTCCGTTAGACTTTCACTCAGTCTCCACTCCTTCAAAAAATCTTTGAAAACCCACTTCTTCATGAAAGCATCTCATATAAACTGTTAGTGGATGTTCTTCCCCCTCCCCCAATGACTCCTCTCCTGCAACTGTCAAAAATAACCTATTAACCCCTTAAGGACCAAACTTCTGGAATAAAAGGGAATCACGACATGTTACACACGTCATGTGTCCTTTAGGGGTTAAGTTCCCAGTGAATACTTTTCTAGCAAGCTATTTTATTACCCCTACTTATACCCTTTGTGTCACTATACCCCACTCCCTCTAGCATGTAAGCTCATTGAGCATGGCCCTCAACCCCTCTGATCCTTTGCGTCTATTTGTCTGGTTACAATTATGCATCTGTTAGTCCACCCATTGTACAGTGCTATGGAATTTTGCTGGCGCTAAATAAAAAAATAAAATAATAATAATACCGTCCGGCTGTTCAACAGACTTGTGGACTTTGAGGAGGAAATAAAAAGTGGGGATCCTGGGAAAATCTACATATAGAAAAGAAAATGTTGTTGTTTTTTCAATCTCCTCATTTTATCTATATGTCATTAACATTTTTTTTTAATTGCCCATTAAAATTTAGATTGGGATTCTCAGTCAATTTTTTGTATGTTACTTCGTCATTTAATATTCTATATGCTTCTTGTAAGTAAGAATCCACAGGCATCATCACAATTCCTGCTCCCTTGTCCACACCTTTGATTAAGATATCATCCCTTTTCCTTAAATTTTTAAAGTTAAAACGTTTATTTCTAAAATTCAGTTGACTAATATGTTTGTGGTGGTCCGCCATCCATTCTGTCGACCACATGCTTTCGGCTGCACGAAATGGCTGCCACACAGAGCGTTGTGCTTTTCGTACTGGATACTCAGTGTTCCATGTTATAATGAGGCTCTGGGTGGTCTTTGTTTGGTAACCGAATGAGGGTCATACAGTTAACCTACAAATATACAAAAAAACTACTATTTTGACGGACCAAGTGATGGAATCCCTTCACAATCTTTATTCACCATTTTAACAAATGCCTCTATTTGGCTTCCCTTCTCACTTGGACAAAAGCTGGGTTGAGGTTTAAACCTAACTGGAGTTCTTGATGTTATACTAGGTTGATCATTAGCTACATTTTCCTTTTCCTTTTTAATGAAAAACTTTTAAGGGATAATTTTCGAGCAAATTTATTTGTGTCTATAAAAGGATTAAAAGGGTTAGCATTTTGACTAGGGGCATATTTTAGACCCTTTTTCAGAACTTGGATTGCTTCTAGATTTAAACTAGCATTAGAGATCAGGAAAATACCTGCTTCTCTTGCTCTTTGTTTATTGTAATCTCTGTTCTTTCCTCGCTTATGATTTTATTCCTTTATATTTGTATATGTAGACTTACATGGATTTTTTTCATCCATATATTATGCTTTTTATATATCTTAAATACTTTTTATATTGTTAGTTTTTAAAAAAAAATTATACTTTTTATATTATTATTATTTTTTTTTTATTTTTTTTTACTTTTTTCTTGTACCTTCTCCATTCTTTGTCATGATGTTCTATAAAACATATTTGATTTACAATGGTCTTCTTTTATATCTGTGCATGATTCTGATGGTAAATTTCTTTTTTATATTTTATATGAAAGAATTTTTATATTTTTATGACGATGTAACCTTTTCATATTAAGAATGGTAATCGATATATTTCCTTTTTTATTCTTTATATATTAATACTATGGTGATTTTGTGGACATTTGAGAAACGAAGGTGGAACGCAAGTTTCTGGACTCTCAAGATGACAGCCGGAAACGGATACACTTCACAAATCCAGGCTGAGGCTTGGAGTCCATGAATCAGGAAATTGACATACAACCTGGGACAGCTCTTAAACTGTGGGCGGATTGGCCGAGAGCGGTTCGTGGGAGGAGCCGGTCAGGATATTTAAAGTACCGCCGGCAAGATGGTTTTATCCAGACTTTGAAATCATAACTATTACCCCCATGAGGAAGTCCACGCACTGGTGGTCGAAACGCGTGGAGTTTTTATTCAGTTTATTACTTTTATTTATTATATTGTATGCTGGTGTTCATTAGTGTGGTCGCTACACGCTGAGATTCCCCAAGAGAACTACTTTGGGAACTACGCTTGGGAAAATTCCAGTGTTGCCGTGGACCTCTCCAGATGTATATCTTGATGTGCCTTGGGTTTTTTGGAAATATGTAAGTTCAATATTATTAAAGTTATAGCTTTTAGTACATAACAGTGTTGCACTATATTTGCCACTTTATTTTCCTATCTGTGTACTACTGAGGAACATGGTGATTCGACACACTGACTGACTCCGTATACAGAGAGTTTATATATTTCCTGCCTGCTTAAAACCAACATTTGTGAGTGCAATAGTCCACATTTGTTCCTACTTTTATGGTGTTTTAACGTTATTACACTACATATGACATTTATATTGTAGATCTTTTAGATATAGGAGGAGCTATGAGTATGCCCCTCTCCTGCAGAGTTACAAATACATTAGGAGCTAGGAGTCTGTCCCTCCCCTGTAGATCCACACAGACAGAAGGAGCAAGGATTCTGTCCCTCTCCTGCAGGATTACACAGACAGGAGTAGCTATGAGTCTGTCCCTCCCCTGCAGAGTTACACAGACAGGAGGAGCTATGAGTCTGTACCTCCCCTGCAGAGTTACACAGACAGGGTAGCTACGAGTCTGTCCCTCTCCTTCAGATTTACAAATACATTAGGAGCTAGGAGTCTGTCCCTCCCCTGTAGATCCACACAGACAGAAGGAGCAAGGATTATGTCCCTCTCCTGCAGGATTACACAGACAGGAGTAGCTATGAGTCTGTCCCTCCCCTGCAGAGTTACACAGACAGGAGGAGCTATGAGTATGTCGCTTTCCTGCAGGATGACACAGACAGGAGTAACTATGAGTCTGTACCTCCCCTGCAGAGTTACACAGACAGGGTAGCTATGAGTCTGTCCCTCCCCTGCAGAGTTACACAGACAGGAGGAGCTATGAGTATGTCGCTTTCCTGCAGATTTACAAATACATTAGGAGCTTTGAATCTGTCCCTCCCCTGCAGAGTTACACAGAAAGATGGTGCTTTGAGTCTGTCCCTATTCTGCACAGTTGCACAGACAGAAGGAGCTTTGAGTCTGCTCCTCTTGAGCAGGTTAACACAGACAGATGGAGCTATAAGTCTGTCCATCCTGGTGCAGGCAAATATTTGCAACCACTTCTTGCCCCCAAGGTTAACTTGTATTGGACCTTTAATTTCCAATCAACAATACTTTTTGACATACTATAGAGAAAGAAAGAAACTTACTAGACAGCACAGGAGTAAAAGCAATATCGTCCCAAATATCACTGCCAGGCAGGTCAGAATAATTTCCCAGTTGATAAAGTCTTTCAAAAGTGCTGCAGAACATTAAAAAGGAAAACAGGTGAACAGTATACTTGAAGATGTTTTAGCTATAATGAAAATTTACTATTTCAATGGTTTGACGTTTGAAAAGTCTTTTACATTCCTTCAAACGTGTTAAAAAGACAGATAATCAATGAGCAGACCTAAAACGACATATCATAATCAGATGAAATTTCAACAAATATTACAAGGGATTTTCTCCTTCTCAATAACACATTCGCCCACACAAATGCCCGAAGAAGACCTAGCATTTTAGGAAGTCTCAGACTGCATACATTTCAGCTTTTTTTGTCAACTGACATACATAGTAACATAGAATGTGACGGCAGATAAGAACCATTCGGCCCATTTAGTCTGCCCAATATTCTAAATACTTTCATTAGTCCCTGGCCTTAACTTAACTCTAGGATAGAAGGTGTTTAAAAATGATTACTGCTAAGGAGTCTGTACCAAATGGATAATTTTTTTTTAAAAAGAGCATTGTTTTTAGTTGAGGATAATACCTTCTGCATTACAATTCAATTTACTTTGAACCTGGGGAACATGACAAAGAGCAGTGGCGAATCCAGGGTGGAAGTTGGGCAACTATCCAACGCCGGCCCTACTATGTGCCTTCACGGACCGGTAGGAAGAACAGAGATCTCCCTCAACAGCCTGCAGGTACATTGATAACAGACAGCAGGGGATGGAGGAGAGAGAATCCGGGAGCTCTAACCTTCAGCTCCTCCAGGTCCTCCTCTCACAAGCACAGAGTGTTGTCGCAGTTACCATGGCAATGCCCCGAATCTTGCGAGAGTGAAATCTAGCCTCAGGAGCTGCAGGTTAGAGTTCACTTCCCACTGGACCACCAGGAATTTCAGGGGGGGTATAAGGTATTAGTATTATTTCAATATATATATATATATATATATATTTATTTATTTGCTTTAAGCTACACATTCACACACACTGCCCCTCCCCCCAAAGCACACAATGCCCCTCCCACACACACACACACACATACTGCCCCCATACACACACTGCCCCTTCACACACACACATATTGCCCCCCACACACACACTGCCCCATGCACATACTGTCCCCATACACACATACTGCTCCCTCACACACACATGTACTGACCCCCACACTGCACCTCTCACACACACACACACATACTGCCCCCATACACAAACTGCTCCCTTCACACACACATATACTGCCCCCATACACACTGCCCCCCTCACACACACACACACACACACAGACCCATTTCCCCAGTAACTGGATGGGACACAGTTCCAGGGTACCACAGCTTTTTATGCACAGAGCCCCTCAGGAGGCCTCTATCCAACAGAACACAATCTCATGCAGGAACAGATAACCATCTCCCACTCTGGGAGATACTAACAGGACACAGGGAGTACACATTACATACAGGGGGTGAACTTTGGGGCTCGGTGTCCCGGGATGGGAAGGGAGTACAGGATTACACTTTATACTTTAGATAAATAGCCCAAGGTTCCCCCTCGGATCCCTGCAAAAAGCAGAGTGATCGGATGTACAGAGAGAAATCAGCATCAAAGTCTGGGGGTCAAGGCTCTGTACATCCCCGAAATTAGTTCCATGGTGTTGCTTGGTTTAGTCTGGCTAATTCAAACTTCGTGCCTAAACCAACCAACAACCAGTCAGCTGAAAGGGCGCAAACCAAATCACACCAATCTGCGTTGGGGGGAGGAAGGAGTTTCGCAGCCCAATCCGAAGAAAGGGCGCAAATCTATGCTGCACCAATCGGTGCTCGGGGAGGAGAGGGGTTTTGCGGCCCAATCAGAAGATAGGGCGCAAAACCTGATGCCACCAATCGGCTGAAAGGTGCAAAACCTATTTGCAGCAACCAGGGACGAGAGGGGCTTTGCCGCCCAATCAAAAGGAAGGGCTGGAAACCCCATTTGAACAAGCTTACCTCCTCGGATTGGTTGCCTGCTCCCTGCAGCAACCAATCAGCGCTTTACTCACGCCGACCAACCAGGAGAAAGGCGCAAACCCTGTTTGAATGGGCGCTCCTTCTCCCATTGGGCGGCACGGACTTCCATGCAGCCAGCAGGAACCCTGTGGCTGTGAGACCGACCTACAGCCCCAGGGATTCCGTGCTGGCACGTGACCCCCTCTCCGGTGGATACCTGCACTCAGGTATCTGCCAAAGAGAGCGTTCGCCTGGGTAGCCACAAGCCTAGCCTCATAGCTCCTAGGTTTGAGAGTGGCAAGTGATTATAGCTCTGTTAGGAGCAGGTAGGATGATCTCTGACACCGCAATCAAAGACAGTGCATGCAGGCCGGTTCGGGAGCCGGATGCTCCCCCTGGTGGGCGTTCAGTGATACGAACCGGCGGCCACCCAGGGGAAGCACGCGCCGTTCGTTCCCTTGCGGTCTGCAATTTTCACATCTCACTAGTGAGGTCTGAACATTCTGACTAAATGTTCTAAGTTGGGTATCGGGGTGGTCCGATACACCCAAGCGCCCCCGGGTGGTCAAAAGGTATATTGCAGGAATTTATGGTCAAAACTACAGAAAGAGGAATATTAGAAGGGGAAACACACATTCTAGGAAGGTACATCCACACATATACAACAAGGCAATTCTTAATTAGGCAGCGGTCCCGCCACACACACATACTGCCACCATATGCGATGCCCCCCTAACACATGCTAAAATACTGCCCCCATACACACACGCTGGCCCCTATACACACACACACTGCCCCCTTCACACACACACACTGCACCCCTCACACACACACACATACTGCCCCCGTATACACACACTGGCACACACTGCACCTCAGACACACACACACACTGCCCTCAATACACACATCGCCCTCCATACTAACACTGCCCTCCATACTCACACTGCCCCCTCGCACACACACACATACTGCCCTCCATACTAACACTGCCCGCCATACACACACTGTTCCACTCACACACACACATACTGCCCCATCCACACAGAGACATTTCAACTCTCATACACACAGTGCACCCCTCACACACACACACTACACACACATTGCATAATTTGCACACACACCCTATCCCCTGCTACAGGCCATATCCCGGCAGACCCCAGGTAAGTTGTCAAACGGTTCTTAAATGGTTTGACTGCTTACTCTGGGAGGACACCACGACACTCCTGGAACCATAACCTATACAGAGAGCTGTAGTGGTTATTGTGCCTGGATTGTGTCTGTAAATAATCTCCAAGTACCCCTCCCAAGATTTGGTTCTGGATCTGCCCCTGACAAAGGGGCAAGCTAAAAGTTTTGAATGCTCAAATAATTTGTTTTGTTTAAATCCTATTTGGAATACAGCTGTATATTTATACAGCCATTAAGCGATACACAGGTTGCATTATATATAGATATAAAACACATCTTTACATCAGGAACATATCACGTAATAGTTAAGGAAATCCCATTTCCGTCCTCGTATCACGTGTGACTTGCAATAAAAAAACAGAGAAACATGTAGAGTTATTCCAAAACCTCAGTAGAGTTTATCCTTAACTAGACACATAAAGCATTGTTTATTAAATGATGGGTTTATTAGATAACATGTATTAATGTGGTAGAAATTGCTACAATATGGCTTATTTGCTTTACGAACCTTACCTGGTATGTTATTTGTTGATATGGCTGTAGTAGAGTTTATCCTTGCAGTGGTTGTTTGGATAGAGGTATTCAGTGCATGAACTGGCTCAGTAGACGGATTTATAGCTGTGGAATGCGTTGTCTGGTGTAGTTCTTTGGTTGTGCCTGCAGTTTTACATTGTTGAGTTGTGCAATTTGTAACAGATCCAGTTGGTGTCACTGTCATTGAACTTTCCATTCTAGTCACTATAGATGCTGCTTTGATTTTTGTTGTTAAAAATGCATTTTTTACACTTGTAGTTTTTCCATCCGTACCCCCTGTTGTTGTACTATTTGTTGCCTTTCCTCGTTCTCTTAGTATAGCCTGATTGCTAATCCTGGTAATTTGCCCCAGTGTTTCTCCTGTTATTTGTCCAGTTGTTATCCCTCCTGTTACTAAAATTGTTACCCCTTTGGTTTCTCCAGCTAATACCCCTGTACTTTGTCTTGATGTTATCCCTGTTGTAGCTGCAGTTGTTACCCCTGTAGGTTGCCTGGATGTTAGACTTGTTGTTGCTGCAGTGGTTACTCCTGTAGTTTCTTTTGAAGATTTTGTGACTACTGACATTTCTCCACTGCTTTGCCTTGATACTACCCCTGTTGTTGCTATAAGTGTTACCCCTGTATTTTTCCCTGATGTTATTCCTGTTGTTACTGCAGTTATTACCCCCATAGAGTGCCCTGATGCTACCCCTGTTGTTGCTATAGTTGTTACCCCTGTAGTGTCTCCTGATGTTACCCCTGTGGTAGCTGTAGTTGTGATTGCTGTTGTTTCTCCTGATGTTACCCCTGTAGTTTGCATCGATGTTACCCCTGTGGTAGCTGTAGTTGTCACCCCTGAAGTTTGTTCTGATATTTCGCCTATAGTGTCTCCTGATGTTATCCCTATTGTTGCTATAGTTGTTACCCCTGTAGTTTGCCCTGATGTTATTCCTGCTGTTACTATAGTTGTTACCCCTGTAGTTTCTTCTGATTTTTGCCCTGTTGTTGCCATAGTTTTTTCCCCTGTAGTTTTTCCTAATGTTACCACCGTAGTAGCTGCACTGGTTTTCCCTGTAGTTACTTCCAATGTTACCCCTGTAGTGTCTCCTGATGTTACCCCTGTGGTAGCTGTAGTTGTGACTGCTTTTATTTCTCCTGTTGTTTCCCATACAGTCTGCTCTGATGTTCCACCTGTTGTTGATGTTTTTGCTATATTTGTTGCCCCTGTAGTTTTCCCTGATGTTACCTCTGTTGTTAAAGCTGTTAGCCCTGTTGTTGCTATAGCAGTTACCTCTGAAATTTGCCCCGATAGTATTCCTGTTGTTACTGCAGTTGTTACCCCTGTAGTTTCTTCTGATGTTACCCCTGTTGTTGCTATAGTTGTTACCCCAGTAGTTTGCCCTGATGTGAATCCTGCTGTTGCTATAGTTGTTACCCCTGTAGTTTCTTCTGATGTTACCCCGGATGTTACCCCTGTTGTTTCTTCAGTCGTTACCCCTATAATTTTTTCTAATGTTACCCCTCTTGTTACCCCAGTAGCTTGCCCTGATGCTAATCCTGATGTTACTGTAGTTGTTACCTCTGTAGTTTGTCCTGATGTTAATCCTGCTGTTGCCATAGTTGTTTCCCCTGTAATTTGCCCTGATGTTAATCCTGATATAACTACAGTTGTTAACTCTGTAGTTTGTCCTGATGTTAATCCTGTTGTTGCTATAGTTGTTACCTCTTTAGTTTGCCCTGATGTTAATCCTGCTGTTGCTATAGTTGTTACACCTGTAGTTTCTTCTGATGTTACCCCGGATGTTACCACTGTAGTTTTCTCTGATGCTACCCCTGATATTAATCCTGCTGTTGCTATAGTTGTTACCCCTGTAGTTTCTTCTGATGTTATCCCTGTTGTTACCCTTGTAGTTTTCCCTGATGTTACCCCTGTTGTTACCCCTATAGTTTGCCCTGATGTTACCCCTGTTTTTACCCCTATAGTTTGCCCTGATGTTACCCCTGTTGTTACCCCTGTAGCTTGCCCTGATGTTAATCCTGTTATTGCTGCAGTTGTTATTCCTGTAGTTTCTTCTGATGTTACCCCTGTTGTTGCTATAGTTGTTTCCCCTGCAGTTTGTCCTGATGTTATTCCTGATGTTGCTATAGTTGTTACCTCTGTAGTTTGTCCTGATGTTAACCCTGTTGTTGTTATAGTTGTTACTCCTGTAGTTTGTCCTGATGTTATTCCCGGTGTTGCTATAGTTGTTACCCCTGTAGATTGTCCTGATGTTACCCCTGGTGTTTCTGCAGTTGTTACTCCTGTAGTTTCTTCTGATGTTACCCATGTTGTTACCCTTGTAGATTGTCCTGATGTTACCCCTGGTGTTTCTGCAGTTGTTACCCCTGTAGTTTTTTCTGATGTTACCCCTGTAGCTTGCCCTGATGTTAAAACTGATGTTACTGCAGTTGTTACCCCTGTAGTTTTTTCTGATGTTACCTCTGTAGTTTGTCCTGATGTTAATCCTGATGTTACTGCAGTTGTTATCCCTGTAGTTTGTCCTGATGTTACTGCAGTTGTTATCCCTGTAGTTTGTCCTGATGTTAATCCTGATGTTACTGTAGTTGTTACCCCTGAAGTTTGTCCTGATGTAATTCCTGCATTTTTTATCCCTGTTGTTTCTTCTGATGTTATCCCTGTTGTTGTTATAGTTGTTTCCCTAGCAGTTTGCCCTGATGTTAATCCTGATGTTATTGCAGTTGTTACCCCTGTACGTTGTCCTGATGTTACCCCTGTTGATACTATAGTTGTTACCCCTGTAGTTTCTTCTGATGTTAACCCTGTTGCTGATGCTGTTGTTAGCCCTGTTGTTGATGCTGTTAGCCCTGTAGTTGCTATAGTTGTTACCCCTGTAGTTTCCCCTGATGTTAATCCTGTTGTTGCTATAGTTGGTGTTGCTGTAGTTTGCCCTGATGTTAATCCTGTTTTTGCTATAGATCTTAGCACTGCAGTTTCTTCTAAAGGTACCCCTGTTGTTACTGAAGTTGTTACCCCAGTACTGTGTCCTGATGTTAATCCTGGTGTTGCTATAGCTGTTACCCCTGTAGTTTGCCCTGATGTTAATCCTGGTGTTGCTATAGTTGTTACCCCTGTAGTTTCCCCTGATGTCAATCCTGTTGTTGCTATAGTTGTTACCCCTGTAGTTTGCCCTGATGTTAATCCTGTTGTTGCTGCAATTGTTATCCCTGTCGATAAACCAGTTGTCGATGCTATTGTTAGCCCTGTTGTTGCCATAGTTGTTACCCCTGTAGTTTCTTCTAATGTTAACCCTGTTGCTGATGCTGTTGTTAGCCCTGTTGTTGATGCTGTTAGCCCTGTAGTTGCTATAGTTGTTACCCCTGTAGTTTGCCCTGATGTTAATCCTGTTGTTGCTGCAATTGTTATCCCTGTCGATAAACCAGTTGTCGATGCTATTGTTAGCCCTGTTGTTGCCATAGTTGTTACCCCTGTAGTTTGCACTGATGTTAATCGTGGTGTTGCTATAGCTGTTACCCCTGTAGTTTGCCCTGATGTTAATCCTGTTGTAGCTATAGTTGTTACCCCTGTAGTTTGCCCTGATGTTAATCCTGTCGTTGCTGCAATTGTTATCCCTGTAGTTTCTTCTGATAAACCAGTTGCCGATGCTATTGTTACCCCTGTAGTTTGCCCTGATGTTAATCCCGTTGTTGCTATAGTTGTTACCCCTGTAGTTTCTTCTGATGTTACTCCTGTTGTTAGTGCAGTTGTTACCCCTGTAGTTTCTTCTGATGTTACCCCTGTTGTTAGTGCAGTTGTTACCCCTGTAGTTTCTTCTGATGATACCCCTGTTGTTACTGCTGTTGTTACCCCTGTAACTTGCCCTGATGTTACCCCTGTTGTTACTGCTGTTGTTACCCCTGTAACTTGCCCTGATGTTACCCCTGTTGTTGATGCTGTTGCTGGTCCTGTTGTTGCTATAGTTGTTACCTCTGTAGCTTGTCCTGATGTTACTGCAGTTGTTACACCTGTAGTTTCATCTGATGTTATTCCTGTTATTGCTGCAGTTGTTACCCCCGCTGTTTGCCCTGATGTTATTCCTGTTATTGCTGCAGTTGTTACCCCCGTAGTTTGCCCTGATGTTAATCCTGTTGTTTCTACAGTTGCCACCTGTGTTGTTTGTCCTTGTGTTAATTCTGATGTTACTGCAGTTGTTACCTCTGTAGTTTGTACTGATATTACCCCAGTTGCTGATTCTGTTAATCCTGTTGTTGCTATAGTTGTTACCCCTGTAGTTTCTTCTGATGTTACCCCTATTGTTAGTGCAGTTGTTACCCCTGTAGTTTCTTCTGATGTTACCCCTATTGTTAGTGCAGTCGTTACCCCTGTAGTTTCTTCTGATGTTACCATGGTTGTTACTGCAGTTGTTACCCCTGTAACTTGCCCTGATGTTACCCCTGTTGTTGATGCTGTTGCTAATCCTGTTGTTGCTATAGTTGTTACCTCTGTAGCTTGTCCTGATGTTACTGCAGTTGTTACCCCTGTAGTTTCATCTGATGTTATTCCTGTTATTGCTGCAGTTGTTACCCCCGTAGTTTGCCCTGATGTTAATCCTGTTGTTTCTATAGTTGTCACCTGTGTTGTTTGTCCTTGTGTTAATTCTGATGTTACTGCAGTTGTTACCTCTGTAGTTTGTACTGATATTACCCCAGTTGCTGATTCTGTTAATCCTGTTGTTGCTATAGTTGTTACCCCTGTAGTTTCTTCTGATGTTACCCCTGTTGTTAGTGCAGTTGTTACCCCTGTAGTTTCTTCTGATGTTACCCCTGTTTTTACTGCTGTTGTTACCCCTGTAACTTGCCCTGATGTTACCCCTGTTGTTGATGCTGTTGCTAATCCTGTTGTTGCTATAGTTGGTACCTCTGTAGCTTGTCCTGATGTTATTGCAGTTGTTACCCCTGTAGTTTGCCCTGATGTTAATCCCGTTGTTGCTATAGTTGTTACCCCTGTAGTTTCTTCTGATGTTACCCCTGTTGTTAGTGCAGTTGTTACCCCTGTAGTTTCTTCTGATGTTACCCCTGTTGTTACTGCTGTTGTTACCCCTGTAACTTGCCCTGATGTTACCCCTGTTGTTGATGCTGTTGCTAGTCCTGTTGTAGCTATAGTTGTTACCCCTGTAGCTTGTCCTGATGTTATTGCAGTTGTTACCCCTGTAGTTTGCCCTGATGTTAATCCCGTTGTTGCTATAGTTGTTACCCCTGTAGTTTCTTCTGATGTTACCCCTGTTGTTAGTGCAGTTGTTACCCCTGTAGTTTCTTCTGATGTTACCCCTGTTGTTAGTGCAGTTGTTACACAACACACCTGATGTTACCCCTATTTGTTGATGCTGTTGCTAATCCCCTGTTGTTGCTATGGTGAGTACCTCATGCTTGTCCTGATGTTACTGCAATTTGTTACCCCTGTGGTGATGTGTCCGTTATTTATATAATTTATTACCTGTAGTTTCTTCTGATGTACCCCTATTTGTTAGTGCATTTTATTGCCCTGTAGTTTCTTCTGATGTTACCCCTGTTGTTACTGCTGTTGTTACCCCTGTAACTTGCCCTGATGTTACCCCTGTTGTTGATGCTGTTGCTAGTCCTGTTGTAGCTATAGTTGTTACCCCTGTTGTTAGTGCAGTTGTTACCCCTGTAGTTTCTTCTGATGTTACCCCTGTTGTTACTGCTGTTGTTACCCCTGTAACTTGCCCTGATGTTACCCCTGTTGTTACTGCTGTTGTTACCCCTGTAACTTGCCCTGATGTTACCCCTGTTGTTACTGCTGTTGTTACCCCTGTAACTTGCCCTGATGTTACCCCTGTTGTTGATGCTGTTGCTAATCCTGTTGTTGCTATAGTTGTTACCTCTGTAGCTTGTCCTGATGTTACTGCAGTTGTTACACCTGTAGTTTCATCTGATGTTATTCCTGTTATTGCTGCAGTTGTTACCCCTGTAGTTTGCCCTGATGTTACTCCTGTTGTTAGTGCAGTTGTTACCCCTGTAGTTTCTTCTGATGTTACCCCTGTTGTTAGTGCAGTTGTTACCCCTGTAGTTTCTTCTGATGTTACCCCTGTTGTTACTGCTGTTGTTACCCCTGTAACTTGCCCTGATGTTACCCCTGATGTTGATGCTGTTGGTGGTCCTGTTGTTGCTATAGTTGTTACCTCTGTAGCTTGTCCTGATGTTACTGCAGTTGTTACACCTGTAGTTTCATCTGATGTTATTCCTGTTATTGCTGCAGTTGTTACCCCCGCTGTTTGCCCTGATGTTATTCCTGTTATTGCTGCAGTTGTTACCCCTGTAGTTTGCCCTGATGTTAATCCTGTTGTTTCTATAGTTGCCACCTGTGTTGTTTGTCCTTGTGTTAATTCTGATGTTACTGCAGTTGTTACCTCTGTAGTTTGTACTGATATTACCCCAGTTGCTGATTCTGTTAATCCTGTTGTTGCTATAGTTGTTACCCCTGTAGTTTCTTCTGATGTTACCCCTGTTGTTAGTGCAGTTGTTACCCCTGTAGTTTCTTCTGATGTTACCCCTGTTGTTAGTGCAGTTGTTACCCCTGTAGTTTCTTCTGATGTTACCCCTGTTGTTAGTGCAGTTGTTACCCCTGTAGTTTCTTCTGGTGTTATTCCTGCAGTTGTTACCCCTGTAGTTGATGCTCTTGCTAGTCCGGTTGTTGCTATAGTTGTTACCCCTGTAGTTTGTCCTGATGTTACTGCTGTTATTACCCCTGTAATGTCTTCGGATGTTACCCCCGTTATTACTGCAGTTGTTACCCCTGTAGTTTTCCCTAATGTTACCCCTGTTGTTAATGCTGTTGTTAGCTCTTTTGTTGCTATATTTGTTACCTCTATAGTTTGCCCTGATGTTAATTCTGTTGTTGCTGAACTTGTTACCCCTGTTGTTTTCCCTGTTGTTACTCCAGTTGTTACCCCTATAGTTTCATCTGATGTTACCCCTGTTGTTGTAGCTGTTGTTAGCCCTGTTTCTGCTATAGTTGTTACCCCTGTAGTTTTCCCTGATGTTATACCTGGTATTTCTGCAGATGTTACCCTTGTAGTTTGCCCTGATATTACCCCTGTTGTTGATGATGTTGTTACCCCTGTAGTTTGCCCTGATGTTACCCCAGTTATTGATGTTACCCCTGTGGTTTGTCCTGATGTTACCCCTGCTGTTGCTGTAGTTGTTAACCCTGTAGTTTGCCCTGATATCAATCCTGTTGTGACTGCTGTTGTTTCTCTTGGTGTTTCCCCTGTAGTGTCTGCTGTTGTGACTGCTGTTGTTTCTTCTGATATTATCCCTATAGTTTGCCCTGATGTTACCTTTGTCAATGATGCTGTTGTTACCCCTGTAGTTTCTTCTGATGGTAGCCCTGTTGTTGCTATAGTTGTTACCCCTGTAGTTTCTTCTGATATCAGTACGGAAGTCACAGCCCTTGTTATTCCTGTAGTTGCTTCTGTTGTTACCCCTGTAGCTTGCTCTGATGTTACCTCTGTTGTTGATCCTGTTAGCACTGTTGTTGCTTTAGTTGTTTTTCCTGTGGTCATGTCTGATGTTAACCCTACTGTTTCTACTGATGTTAGCCCCGTAGTTAGTCCTGATGTTACACCTGTTGTTGCTAGAATTGTGACTGTTGTTGTTTCTCCTGGTGTAACCCCTGTAGTTTCTCCTGATGTTACTGCTGTTGTTAATGAACTTGTTAACAATGTAGTTTCTCCTGTTGCTAATCCTGTAGCAACCATAGTTGTTTCAGTTGTAGTTTGCCTTGATATCGCAGTTTCCTCTTTTGTTATCTCGGTGACCCCTGTTGTAGCCTCAGTGTTTTCTAATGAAAGTGTCACCTCAGTGTCCTTCTTTGTAGTATCTTGTATTGTTCCCTCTGTTGTAGTTGGCGCCCCTGTAGTTTCTTTGGTTGATATTGTTATTGTTCCCTCAGTTTCATCTGTAGTCTTCCCCGACATTCCCTCTGAAGTAAATTCTTTTGTTTCTCCCGATGTTATCATTGTTGTTTCTTTTGTTGTTGACACTGTGCTAGTAGTTGTAGTGCTTATGTCTTGTTTTGATTCAGTAGTACCTACAAATGTAGTGGCTGTTTCTTGTGATTTCATAGTTTCATGTGACATTGTGCTGGTTGTGTCTTGGACTTTTGTGGTTATGTCTGATGGTGTAGTAGGAATTTCCACTGGTGTCGTAGTAATATCCTGTTGGCTTGTTATTTCTAGTAATGTTGTGGAAGAAACAGTGGATAACATTCTGTCTTGTGATGTGGTAGTATCTCTAGATATGGTTGTTGTGTCTGCCACTGTTGTTATAGTATCCAATAATATGGTTGTTGATATTGTGGTGCCTTTTGATGTTTTGGTAGCAATGAAAAAAGAGAAAATATGCAAATTAGCCAGAATGTAAATTCTCATAATATCTTTTGCTGTCATTTTTTAGAACATTTCATTAATATATATATCTATAAATTGTAAGCTAAATCGAGCAAGGTCTCCATCAACCTGTCTGTAAAACTGTATAATAGTTTGTCTCGTTTGTCATTAATTCCCCCTGCTGAATAAGTTGGCATTATATAAACGAGATGAATAAGGTGTATGAAATTAAGTGGCAAATATGCCCAACTTTTGTTATATTCCACACGTTATTTTTCAAATGGTGTGAAGGCGATTACTCAAAATAATTCAGCAAGTGTGAATAATAATAACAAAGTATTTAACGAGGGAATGTACATTCAAATTGATCTGGTTTTCAAGTACATCCTAGGGATGCTATTTTCGCCACACACCGAGGGTTGTTACTATTACCCAATTTAATGGTACTCATTGTATCTACCTCTGAAGGATGAAGGGCTGAGTCGACCCTGCCGGGATTCGAACCTGTATGCCATGATAAAATGTAACTCATAGCGAAGATTGTGCAATAACACATGACTGCTGTCTCTCGCTATCCCAGATATTGAAATGCAGCAATATTAACAGCTTGTGGTTTTCGGGTGATAGTAACTGTAACGGAACGCTGGCACTCTGACTGAGTACCTCCGCCAATCGATGCTCCAAGCGCTTGCCGAGGACTCCAAGCACTCCAACCGACACCATCAGCACTGCAGACCCCACTTCCAGCGATGCAACTGCGCTGGGGTCTCTGCTGTCTCCACCCACCCTGGACCCAAGGCCAGGATCCAGCTTCCAGTGGATGAACCTCTCTTTCCCCAGAGAGCAGGAACAAGCTCTTAGCAGAACTTAGTGATCATACCCTGGGGAGTATAGTGATTATAGCAATCCCCAGAGTGTACTTCTCCAATCCCCCAAACATGAGCCAAGGCTTAATGCTGGAACAAGACTGATTTACTGGCACACAGAACTCACAATTTATGCAACACAAAACTCCTCCTCTGGGCCAGGCTAGATAATTGAGTTTCTACAATACACAAAGCTCAATTATCTGCTGGCCAGAAATAATACAGTTTCATAAAACACACAGGGACCCCAAAACTTGCAATAACCCCATAAAAAGTATATCCTTGGAACCGGGGATCTGGTTGAACCACATATCCAAAATTCACCCAGATCCGTTCAGTACTTTGGAAAATACAGTTTAATGCAGATTCTGCAGAACACATACAGGCTAAATGAAAAACAATCACTGTATAATGTGTCCCCTGCTGTATAGTCCAAAACCACTGCACGATGTCTCTGTGCACCAAATACTGGCGAGATGGCACCGTGTTGAAAAGTCCAAACAGTGTCTGGGAGTTAAAATGACCGCTATCCATTGTTCTCACCATGTGCTTCTGATACAGGAAATGGTGGCCACCCAGTAACTCCACAGTATGTCCCCAGATGGTTCTTAAAGGGCCAGCAGCAGCACAACACAAATCCATTATGCCCAAATCATGTCTTTAAAGGGCAATACATCCCAGGGGCCATAGTCACAGGGCAAGAGGCGGGCAAGCAGTCCTCTCCAGGCACAAGTGGCGAAGGGCACTTCGTCACAGTAACTCCCTCCAAATGAACATTACACACTGCTCTATGACTCTGTTATGGTCTTGGTTTGGAATCCTGTGTGGTAATTAGTGACAAAGGCTGTTATTGGGGAGAAGTTAGTCAGGTGATTGGGTGGCAATGGCTTAAGGCAAAACACTCCAATGGCTTAAAGGAACACTCCACTGCCTAAATCCAAACAAAATAACAATCACTGTTCAGTAGATATACCATCAATGGAAACATGTATGCATTTAATTGTTAATTTTTGTCATTGGGGTAAATCTAAAAACAGCTTGCAGAGCAATTTTCTGCTGCCTTTTAAAGCCAATCCCTTGTGTGACGAGACTAATCTCGCCATTGTTCACTGGAGGAGCCTGGTTGCCCGCCTGCTGCCTTTAGACTATGGCCCCATGTTGAAACGCTTGATTTTCCCCTGCAAAGACACGAAAGCCGGGTCATTCGTTGCATGCCCTGTTTGAGCGGTGATACCTCAGATAGCTATGCCATGGAGCCCATTTGTATAATGAAAGACTATGGGAAAGACTTTGACTCCATGGCAATTGAACTGTATGTGTGTGCTCTGAGCGCCATTCAGTAATAATGTGCGCTCAGATCTGAACTTTCTGGGGATATGTTGAATGTACCTGTTTTGTGCAATGGCTGCACAGTTATATGTTTTTATGTATTTTATTGTCTTTTTCTACCATGTGGTCAATGGAGTTGTGCCTGTGTCCTTGGAGATAATTGGATTACTTCCCAATTATCTCCAGGATAGAAGACTCTGTGGAACTGGCTTTGGGCAGAAAAGCCATGCTTCCTTTGGTCACAAAGGACTACGATCTATCTTTTGAACCACTGGACCAATTTGGATGATTTTGACATATATTTGTATTTGGAGTATGCTGATTCTGAAAATGTGAATGTGGGATTTATTGTATGTTGTTCCAGTTCGACTGCTAGGAGTGTAAACCTATTCGTATGGTTTTTCCTATTCGGCTGTTTACGGCATTCATATGGTTTACTGTTCGGCGGATTGGTGTTCTGCAGTAGCTGTGCCTGTGTCTCTGGAAGGGAAGATCTACTAAACGGCGGTTTAACCCTTTTATGCCTGGGGGTGCCGTTACAGTCATATATATTTCTCATTGAGAAAAATAAAAATTAAGAGGAAAAAAAATAGAAAGAATAGGATATAAAAGAAGGAAGGAGAAAAGGAAAAAAGTGAAGTACAAGAAGAACGAGGGCGAAAAAGGGGAGAATAGGGAAGGGAAAGGAAGGGGAAAATAAAGAAAGGGGAAAGAAAAGAAAGAGAAGGAAAAAAAAAGAAAAAAAAGAAGAAAGGAGAGAGAAAAGGGAGACTAAGAGCAAATACTTATGTAATATTTTACACAGAGTGAAGATAAAGTGAAAGTTAAAGAAGGAACTGAAAGAACTTGAAAAAAAAGTAATTCTGATATTCCTCTTCTTTAAACCATATTAAAAAATTCCCCCATCCCTATACTACTTTATACTAATTTTATGCTACTTTATTTTTTTTTTCCCCGAAAACTTAAATGGCTACCAAAAAAAAACAGGCTTGGACTCAAAATCGCTAACCAAACGAGACAAAAGAGAGACGAAACAAGATAAAAATCTACATGTATATTTTTCACCCCAAGCTAAGGACGCTAAAAGTAATAATATTAGATTCAGATGGGTCTTCCCCATGAAGATGATCTGTTAGAATATTTACATCAGCAGACATTTTGTGCTAAAAAGAAATTAAAAGTGTATATTGCCACAGCCACTCAGAACAAAGTGGACTCCATTTTGCTATCTTCAGGATAACAAAAACACATAATTTCCTTGATTTCTTCTTACTTCTGTAACTAGCCACTTGCTTGAGCTGAGGAATGTATTATATAAACAAACCAAGATAAGCAATGAAGCAAGGGGGATGGAACACTCTGTCTAAAATGTTAATGTTAATAGATGCATATCTAAACACAGACACTAGTGACAGAGAAGACTAAGTAATTAATTTTACTTTCTAAATGTTATAAGGTACCATTGTAAGAAAGGGGTGAAATTGAGTTTAGAACTGTCAATTTTACAAGTTACGATCAAAGTAGTTGCCACAAAGACTGGGCCAAATGCTTTGAACTGACAGCAAATCTAAGTTATGGTAGTCATTTAAGATAAGCCAAATGACATCAAAATCGTCATCAGAGTTAACACTCTTTCCTGGATAGGAAGGTTTCGTTAGACAAAACTGCCCTCTATGGATCAAATACCTAAATTGCGATCCCTAGATTGGACACACCTATGGCTTCCTATTGGGTTATCAACTAATGACATACAGAGAGTCTGGCCCTTTAAAAGTTAGGACAAAGGGAAGACAGGGTAGTAGGGGTTGGAGTTGGAGAGAGACAGAGAGACGAATTGGAAGTTTGGGGACTCCAACTCGGACATGCAGAGAAATCCAGGACAATCTCTGGGACTAACATTCTACTCTTAAAACTCTAACACTTAGAATTTTACTGACTTTCTAACCAACACCACCTTTCACTATAACTCATGCACCTACATACAACCAGTAAAGTCTCTGGGACTACCTACTCATCTGATGAGAATATCTACATAACTCGTAATTATGCTGGTTTTATTTAATAAATTTAAATTAATTAAAATTTACTAATAGCATGATATATGACTGGATAAATCATGGTCAGATTTCAATATTTAGAAATTTTAGTTAACTAAAGAATATATAGTTATAAACATTCCATTCTGCAGGTGGAATTAAGAATAATTATATATTAATGTGATAGTATCACGTGTTAGCATACAGCTTTTTGTATCCAGGTGTATTGATTTGCTCTAATATAATATAAGATATCTTTTAGACAAATTAAATTCGGCTTTTGTAAAAATCTGGTAGATTATTCTTATTGGATGGTTCCAGGAAATGACTAATGAGCTGGTTTAAATGTATTTTAATTGAAAATCACATGAGAATAGGATACTATATGCCTAGGAGGATCTAGCCAGCATTGAAAGGGTTACTCAGTTGATCTAACTGTTAGCCAGGGTTTTATGGCCCCTTGCTGTGAAAAGCTTCACTTTTTGTCTGTAAGGATACCCTCATAAATCATGTAAGTCTTGACAGAAAATGCTGTTTAGCCATTGAAACGTGTATAGCCATTCCATTGTATTGCATACTATGTTATACTAAATATTCACTTATTATTATCATCCATGTTGCCTAATAATATTGTTAATTAATTTGTTACAATAAAAATAAATCTATTTTTATAACAAATTGTGATTTAATTGTATGGAATACTTTTCACTTATTTGATAAACGATCTCTAAGATCTAAGAGAATTGAAATAGTGGGCAATTCTCGACTGCTTAAAATTATCATCCCATAAATATCCCCACAGATCATACATATGGACGGCCATACAGAGTCCTTTGATCACCCAGATAAGCTTAAGGCTTGGATGAAAATTAAATCTCTGCACTAATCTCCCATTTAATTTGAGCCCTATCATAAATTTAACATTGAGACGGGCGGGTTTAATGAGGAAAGGTTTAAATAAGAAAAAGATGCATCCCTTTTTTGTTGAATTTTCTTTTTTTACTATAAAGGTCTCATTATCAGTATAAGGCTGTTTTGGTATAATTTTAGCATAAGGAAGAATCTCTTTACACAATCTGCTTTGTGCACTTATAACTTTAGAATATCTTAAAAGGAAAAGTACTATTTAAAAAAATGTTCATTCACTAGTCAATTAAATCTGAATATTGATAGTATCACTAGATGTAAATAGTTCATTTTTTAAATTCATTTATTTTTATAAAGACTTCAATTAGTAGCACAAGGATGTTTTAGCATAATGACGTATCTTTATATGTAGTTTTGCTCACGTATAATGCTAAAGTATTTCTAAAGGAAAAAGCACTATTCATAAAATTGTTTACACATTAAGTCAAGGAAATTAAATATTGATGGTATCACAAGATGTAAAATATACATAAATATATATTTTTTCTTATAAAGGTTTTTTTTTTCATAAAGGCTTCAATTAGTAACACAATGGTGTTTTAGTATAATGACAAATTTTTATATGTAGTCTTGCTCAAATATAATGCTAAAGTATTTCTAAAAGAAAAAGCATTATTCATAAAATTGTTTACGCATTAAGTCAAGGAAAATTTTATATTGATGGTATCACAAGATGTAAAAAATATGTTTTTTTTCTTTTTCCCCCCTCTCGCCCCGTCTGTAATTCAATACATTGGCTCGCTAAACCCTTGTGACTCCAGTCTCAACTTCTCTTTCTGTGAATATTCACAGTTATTCCTAATCCTCTATTTTTTGGAAGATAGGAGAACCCATGGATATTAGATCATGGGGATGTATTAACTGTTGATGGAATTGTGTTGCCCCATCTGATGTGTGTTCTCTATGTATTTTCTTTTTGTGCGACTGTTATATTGTTTGTATTTTTAGTTAAGTCCTATACAGCAAAATTGGTCATGATAACTTTAACTTCATTTATAGGTTTATCCCAACCAGAGTCTCCCAAAACCCCAAAACTTAGATGTTAAGACTTATGTCCATTAATGTACAGGGCTTAAATACAAGACGGAAAAAACAATTACTATATGATACCTTGGTATATAATGAGGTACAAATAGCCTTTATACAAAAAACCCACTGGCTGAAATCAGAACCACAAAGATGGGGAGGAGAAAAATACAAATATATCAAGCATCTCTTAATGAAGATAAGAAGCGCGGAGTAGAGATTATTATTGACTCAAACATAAAACACAACATAAAATTAATAGATAGTGCCCCTAGTGGTAGATTCCTGGTTGTTATATGTACAATTGAGACTGACATATACTTTGGTTAATATCTACTTGCCAAACCTCAATACAACTGCACTCTTCTCCAAAATTATGAACAGGTTAGAAAATATAACTATAGGTACTTTAATAATTACAGGAGACTTCAATTGTGTTATGGACCCAAATGTCGATAAGAAATCTCAAAACAACTTGGAGTCTGTTGGGCAAGTGTGTAAGAAAACAAATACAATAGTGTAAGATTCCTAACTATCGGAATCTAAAGTGTGTCCACAGAACCCCATATAGGGGGTAACCCTTAGATGTATACACAACACTTAAACTGCAGGTGATCCCTTGCGAAATAAGCTTTGGGAGCACCAAAAAAGGGATCTCTGGGCATTGCACGTATATATACAAATTAAAAACACCATTATTATAGGGCATAAATTCCCCAAGAGAAAAGAAAACTTAAATAAAACCCATCATATCTAAGAAAAGCACACAGGAGAGACCTTAGTCTATACAAGAATAGAAATATGCAGGTATAGAGTGGTGCTAAGAGATAGAAAGTCATACAGTATTCTAGATCTTAATAATTGAGTAAGTTCTCTATGATCTATACTGACACCATTTGCATTTCAGTCTTAGTAATAATCCATAGATAATAGGTGAATACGTCCTCAATTGAGAGATAGACTAAATGCTCTGGATACTAAATTAGATTGCTCACAATACGTAGCTTAGAATGGCACTTAGAAAACTGATACTGCTCTATATAAGGTGGGTACAGAGTATCCTTGATTGTTAACTAATAAACTAAGAAGGAGTAGATAAAAAAGTAAGTAAATAAACTATCCTTAGCTAGAACATCTAAAAGTATAATTAACACAAAGGCCATAATTTATTAAATTGTATCCGTCGGTGTAAGAAAAATAAGCTGTCTCTAATTGTAGCAATGAGCTTCTACACTCGAAAAGTGTCTGCTTGTATTCTTATATCATCTAACTAAGCCTAATACTATATAGACTTAAATTAATCTCTCTCCCCCACCAAGTGAGCACATAGAACAGTGCTGTGGTTAAAACAAAAAAAGCATAAGACCTAACGTACGTTTTGGCACTACTGAAGCGCCTTTGTCAAAGGTGAGTGTGGCACTGATCAGATAATAATTTGTACCAAATGGTATTAGCCTCTGAGCCAATCCGAAACACAGACATGCATGTCTCCCTTGCGCCAAAATCAGAGGTAACCTGTGTAACTGCGGGTCTATCTGATTCTTCCTTTTAGCCCCGCCCCATGGCGTTTATTAGGGGCACATCTGACTTCTTGTTTGAAGCCGGTAACTATAGCACCAGTTTACATGAATAATATTTTCGTCTATTCTAAGTACCGCCCATTTGGGCGTTTCTATAGGTGGACTTATTCTTTCTTTCTAACGGGTATATACCCTGTATGGCAGGGCGTTCGTATAGCCCAACTGATGGGCATATTAAAGGGTGAATCAAAGACTCCTTATAAAAGAAATCATGCTAATGACCTCTGTATGTAACAAAGAATTTCGATACCAACATTGGATATCGATCTAAATGTACTGACAGTAATGTTACTTTCTATCCTAATAGTCTACATAGCACATCAAAGACAAGGATGCTATCATGATAATTACTCATGGTTATAGGTAGTATATTATATTCTTTCAATTGATTATTTTATATTATATTATTTTATATTATACTGCTCTTAACCCCTTAAGACCGGAGGGCGTACTATTACGCCCTATTCTAAGCGGCTCTAAACGGTAAATAGTACACCCTCCGGTCTTTTCCTACTTACCCGGTCGCAGGCGATCCCACGCCGGCGATCGTGGTTGGGGTGACTCCCAGGGAGCCCCCCGCGGCATGGCCGACCCCCTGGAAACCCCCCGGCCATGTGAGAGTGAGGTCCTTGCGAGGACCCCACAATCACATGGCCGGGGGTAGCTGGCTGCAGCATTGCCAGCAGGGGGCCTGCCTGTAATGACAGGTGGTCCCCCTGCTGGCTGGAAATAAAATCAAATAAATTAAAAAGTGTAAAAAAAATAATAATATATACTTAAATCATATATATATATTATATATATGAGCTAAGTATATATAGACACATATACATACACACACGTACACTGTCTAGGTGTATTTTACTATTAATATATATATAATTATATATATATATATATATATATATATTAATATCAAATTACACGTAGACTGATACTGATTAAATATATATAATTATTGTTATATATATATTTATATATAATATAAAAAAAAATATGTAAATACGTTAAAAAATAAAATTTAAAAAAAAATTAAAAATAAATAATTAAAAAATATATAGATGTGTGTTATTTCGTTCTAACTGTATTGTGAAATTAATATATATATATATATATATATTGTAACGGACCGTTTTGCACAAAATCGGCCCCCTTTCCAGAGATGCAGGCACAGCTACTACAGAACACCAAACACACGAATCGCCAATAAGTGAATGCTCCAAGCTCCCGAACGGCATCCAATATAGCACTCCAAACAGACGAACGGGAACCGTACGAATTGCTGCTACCAGATGAATAGGAAAAGCATCCAAGCGGCTTACACTCCTAGCAATCAGTCTCTATCAGCATACAGTAAATTCCCCCAAAGACGAGATAAGGCTCCGTGTTGAGGGTCAAGCAGTGGTCTGTTTAATGAGGGCTACCTGCCCGGCTTTTATGCAGGTCTCCCACCTGGTGGACACTCCCCTAAGGGACCAAATGGGAGACTGTGACAAGGGACAGACAAGCAGACAAATAGGACACACAGTCACAATATATTCCCACAATGCATCCTGGCTTCCTCCCCTTTGCCCTGGGAGATAATTGAGAAGTAATTAAATTATCTCCCAAGACAAAGGCAAATCGCCATTATGCACATGGGGATACTAAAACAAGCATTACTGTTAAAATACACCATGTAAGACACATTACATTAAAACTATACATTTAACATATCCCCAGATAGCTCAGGTCTGAGTGCACATTATTAAGCGAATGGCGCTCAGACCACACGAATACAGTTTAATCGCCATGGAGCCAAAGTCTTTAATTCCACGAACAGGCTCCATGGCAGGCTATCTGGGTACTTGCACACCGAATACAATTGCAGCACTAAAAGTCCCGAATGCTCCGTTGTTCGGTTCCCGAACAGGTTTGCAGACTTCCAGCCTCAGCGGGGCTTGTAAGACAAAAGTGTCCGCTTTTGGTGTCCTGCCGCTGGGTAGAACAAGCGCTGGCTTCCATAACACCACCATCGTGTGGCGGCTAGGTGTAACCGCGACCACCCAGTAATTGTCAATTAAGCTGCGGTTAACCGCAGCTTCAGGGAGGTTAATTGCCGGCACACTCCAGCTCCCAGGTGGTCTATTCATTCGTGCGGTTGTTCGGTAGATTGAATCTACCGAACAACCGGCAGAAAAGCAAGAATACAGCTTTTCTGCAGGCGAAACAAAGTCTTTTAACATGGGGCCATAGACCAAAGGCAGCAGGCGAGCAACCAGGCTTCTCCAATGCAATGTGGCGAGATTGGTCTCGTCACATATATATATATCAAAATACACATAGAACGAAATAATATATATATATATCTATATACATAAATATATACGTATATATCACTATCTCTATACCTATATATAAATAAAAATATTTAAAAAAAATGATATAGATATATACATATATATACACATACGTATATATATATACATATATTAATTCTACATATATATTTATGTAATATTTTTACATAATTAGGTATCTTAATTAATTATAATTAGCGAGACCTGCCTGACAACCCATGCCAAAAGTAAAGGGAATTTAATTTGCTAGCACTATTTTTAACCCTATAACTTTCCAAGACACCATAAAACCTGTACATGGGGGGTACTGTTCTACTCGGGAGACTTTGCTGAACACAAATATTAGTGTTTCAAAACAGTACAATGTATTACAACGATAATATCGCCAGTAAAAGTGACGTTTTTTGCATTTTTCACGCACAAACAGCACTTACACGGATGATATTATTACTGCGATACTTTTTACTGTTTTGAAACACAAATATTTGTGTTCAGCGAAGTATCACGAGTACAACAGTACCCCTCATGTATAGGTTTTATGGTGTTTTCAAAAGTTACAGCGTCAAATATAAGGCTTGCGTTTCATTTTTTTCACATTAAAATTTGCTAGATTGGTTAGGTTGCCTTTGAGACCATATGGTAGCCCAAGATTGAAAATTACCCCTATGATGGCATACCATTTGCAATAGTAGACAACCCAAGGTATTGCAAACGGGGTATGTCCAGTCTTTTTTAGTAGCCACTTAGTCACAAACACTGGCCAAAATTGGCGTTTTTTGCATTTTTCACACACAAACAAATACTAACGCTAACTTTGGCCAGTGTTTGTGACCAAATGGCTACTAAAAAAGATTGGACATACCCCATTTACAATACCTTGGGTTGTCTACTATTGCAAATGGTATCCCATTATGGGTGTATATTTCATTCCTGGGCTACTATACAGTCTCAAAGGCAACGTAACCAATCTGGCGAATTTCAATTTCAAATGTAATGTGCTATATTTGACCCTGTAACTTCCCAAAACGCCATAAAACCTGTACATAGGGGGTACTGTCTTACATGTGAGACTTTGCTGAATACAAATATGTGTATTTTATTGCAGTAAAAGAAAACAGTATTATGACATTGACCGTTAAAATGTCATGTAGAACTAAAAAAATCCAAAAAAAATCGTATTTTCTCCCATTTTTTTCATATTAAGTTATGTTTCATAGCTAAATATTTGATATTAAATGAAAGCCCTGTTTCCCCTAAATAAAATGATATATAATAAGGGTGGATGCATTTACTATGAAAGAGGTGAATTATGGTTGGCCAGACATGTAGCGCAAATGCCCGGTTTTGTTTACATTTTGTTTTGTTCACAACGTGTACATTTGGCTCTGTCCTTAAGGGGACTAACGCATGGAGAACAGATGAGTCTCTTTTTAAACTTAGAACTAATCAGGATTCTATAACTGAGTTATCTAAACTCTTTTGGCTAGAAAACTCCAACCCTGACATCTCAGACTCTATTCTATGGGCTACATACAAAGTAAGTCTCCTTAGTACATTATCGGTTACATATAATCAGTACCACCTGTATACACATAGTATTCAGTATTAAAACACCCTGGGGTGCTAGTTGGCATGGTGTCTATTCTATATGTAAGAAAGCCAAGGCATTAACTAATTCATGTGCGACATATGGGCTGTATGATACATGACGAGTGTTTCACCTGGTTTTATCCGACTTTACATACTTGTCGAAAGTTCATAACTCATATTCATGAATTGACCTATGTTTAGTTAAATCTACTACGCTTAAAGAAATTGAAATAATCCAAATCAAAGAAAACACGTGGTCCGACCATAGTTCTTTGATACTACAAATAGGCAAATTAATACTAAAATCTACTAACGCATGGAGAATAGATGAGTCTCTTTTTAAACTTAGAACTAATCAGGATTCTATAACTGAGTTATCTAAACTCTTTTGGCTAGAACACTCCAACCCTGACACCTCAGACTCTATTCTATGGGCTACATACAAATTAGTTATAAGAGGTTATCTCATAGAAATAGAAAAGAAAGCTAAAAATATGATTAATAAAGACCTGATCCAATCTAAACATACAACGCTCTAATATCTCTAAACTAAACAAAGACCATCCATTGTCTCAATATGGGTCAATGTTAGCGATACTACAAAACCAAATTAATATAAAAGTAGAGGAAAAAATAAAGAAAACAATAAATAAACTGAGAATAAATACCTATTACCAAGGTAACAGAGCCAACAAGAAACTAACTAGGAGATTAAAGAAACATAATGCAACTAATAGGGTTAACAAATTAATTGACAAACAAATTACTTATTCCTCCCCAGAAAAAAATGGTCATTTATTTAATGAATTGTATAGTAATTTGTACAACCTGGATGCCCCCTCAAATAATACAGAAATAAAATAATACTTAGCAGACACTTCAATCCCAAGAATTACTAGTCTGGATCTGGACCAACTTAACTGCAAGTTCACGATAACGGAAGTAGAAAGGGAAATAGATAGACTTGAACTATCAAAGCCCCTGGTCCGGATGGATTTAGTAACTCTTTTTATAAAATTTTGAAAAAAGAAATCAGTCTGCCTCTTACGGCTAATATTCTGCCAATTTTAAAAGCCAACAAAGATCCAACAGATGTAAAAAATTATAGACCAGTTTCATTAATACATACTGATATGAAAATCTATGCAGCAATTCTATCACATAGGCTTAAGCCATATGTGGAAAGAGTTGTCCATTCGGACCAGGTGGGCTTTATTCAAGGCAGATCTTCTGAGTCTTGTACCAGAAGAATTATAGATATATTGGACGGCGCAGGACGGAAGAGGGTTCCATTGCTGACCCTGTCATTGGGCGTGGAGAAGGCCTTTGACAGGGTCAGCTGGGGATTCCTTGATAAGACCCTGACCTCTTTTGGCTTTGTGGGATAGATCCACGATGCTATTATGGCCCTTTATACGGAATCCACAGCAAGAACAGTCGGGGTAAATATCCTAACAAGTTGGTTTACCCTGAAAAATGGTACAAGGCAGGGTTGTCCCCTATCTCCTCTTCTTTATATACTCACCTTGGAACCATTAGCAATTAATATTAGATCTAATACAAACATAAAGGGGTTTTTTTTCAACCAAAATTTAGAGGCAAAAATATTACTGTACGCTGACGGTATATTATTAACACTCACGTCCCCAGAAATTTCCCTACCCCATGTTATGTTTGAAATAAATTGATACTCGAAAGTATCTAATTATAAGTTAAATGTATAAGTATCTACAGCTATAATTAATAAGGTTGATAATTATAGCCCGGAAGACTTAAGAGACCGTTATGACTTTATATGGCCCGAAAATACTTTCACCTATTTAGGTGTATCAATCTCAACACATGTTGACAAAATTATGGAGATAAATGTTCTGAATCTTCTAAAATACACAAATAAAAAGTTAAAAGAATGGTGTATGCTTGATTCCTCCTGGTCCGGTAGGATAAACATAATCCAACATAATTCCCAAATGGTCATACCTATTTAGGATGATCCCCTTGCAAATTTTGAACCACTGGCTTACCATTGTACAATCTAGTTTCCAATCCTATGTTTGGCAATCCAAAAAAACCTAGAATCAGTAAAACAATTGTATCTAAAAAAATACTACATGGGTGGCCTTAAATACCCTGATATAAGAATCTGCTACTCTGCTAATATTATAGGTCACATTTGCAAACTTCAGGTTGATTCATTCAAAAAACAAGTATGGTACTCGATCGAATCAGAGGCCACTGATAGAGACAGACTAGATTTTTTTCTGTGGCTTGATAGTAATACAAAAGCCACAGAAGAACTAAGCAATAAATCCTTAATTCTATCACAAATTATAAGGGCATGGGATATTCTAAAGAAACGGTTGAAAATCTCAAATAACATAATGGGAACATGTAATTTGGCTGTATAGGAGGATCATATGCAGGATATATCACTACAAAATTGGCCCAATTCCCAATGGTCCTGTAAAGAGAGTTTTCATAACGATTTAATCTTACCTTTCCTTGATATTCAAGACAAATTTCACCTCCCTAATAGAGAGCTTTTTTCATATTTTAGGTTTAGGAACTTCCTAAATACGTAATTATTGAAGTCTGCTTCTAAGAGCAATTCTCTTCTTCAGGACATTTTTAATTATATGAGGGTTAAAAGAGTTATCTCCAAGGCCACCAATCTGATTCACACTTCAGATCAACATCCTCTAAATATTGTCAATAAATGGAAAAAAGAACTAGACATTGATATTTCTGATAATGAATGGTGCTCTACCTTTAAAGACATTCGTAAACATATCCATTGTTTGAAATGTAATAGAGTGTCAACATAAGATTATGTACAGATCGTATTTAACACCAGATAGATTAAGTAAGATGTATCCTGCTCAACTCCCTCATTGCTGACGATGTGGATGTTTGGACAGGTCCCTTATTCATATTTGGTAGTACTGTAAATTAGTAAAATGCCTATGGAGATGGCCCTTTGAAATTCCTTGTTCAATATTTCAATTAATCAAAGCCCTGATACGACCTTACTACATCTGAACTGGAAGTTATCCCTCCCCTCATCCAAATGTCTTGTAACCCATTGTTTATTAGCTGCCAAGATTGTGATAGCAAGACAGTGGAAATCGTATCTTCCTTTTGAAAGGAGACATTTTACTGACCAATTATTATTTCAGCTTTGCATGGAGAAAGATCTCCCTGCCTCTTCTATACATTCTCTAAATAAACAACAGCAATACATTAAATGGATTGCGACTTTAGAAAATAACTGAATTAGTTTAATATAAATTAAATCACTCCGACAGATCCTAATCCTATAACTACACTAGGTCAGCTAATAAGATGGTACATATGTAAGATTGATTCTGATTTTGGGTCACAACCATGGCAGCTTTTTGCTGCCAACACTCTTCTGTTGCAAAAAGCTCCTGCAAGGCTTCCAGTTGGCCCCACTGAGCTAAGCTGCTGTGGTGGTTGTAGTGTGGTGGGTTATACTTGCTGCCAACACTCCTCTGCTGCAAAAAGCTCCTGCAAGGCTTCCAGTTGGCTCCACTGAGCTAAGCTGCTGTGGTGGTTGTAGTGTGGTGGGTTATACTTGCTGCCAACACTCCTCTGCTGCAAAAAGCTCCTGCAAGGCTTCCAGTTGGCTCCACTGAGCTAAGCTGCTGTGGTGGTTGTAGTGTGGTGGGTTATACTTGCTGCCAACACTCCTCTGCTGCAAAAAGCTCCTGCAAGGCTTCCAGTTGGCTCCACTGAGCTAAGCTGCTGTGGTGGTTGTAGTGTGGTGGGTTATACTTGCTGCCAACACTCCTCTGCTGCAAAAAGCTCCTGCAAGGCTTCCAGTTGGCTCCACTGAGCTAAGCTGCTGTGGTGGTTGTAGTGTGGTGGGTTATACTTGCTGCCAACACTCCTCTGCTGCAAAAAGCTCCTGCAAGGCTTCCAGTTGGCTCCACTGAGCTAAGCTGCTGTGGTGGTTGTAGTGTGGTGGGTTATACTTGCTGCCAACACTCCTCTGCTGCAAAAAGCTCCTGCAAGGCTTCCAGTTGGCTCCACTGAGCTAAGCTGCTGTGGTGGTTGTAGTGTGGTGGGTTATACTTGCTGCCAACACTCCTCTGCTGCAAAAAGCTCCTGCAAGGCTTCCAGTTGGCTCCACTGAGCTAAGCTGCTGTGGTGGTTGTAGTGTGGTGGGTTATACTTGCTGCCAACACTCCTCTGCTGCAAAAAGCTCCTGCAAGGCTTCCAGTTGGCTCCACTGAGCTAAGCTGCTGTGGTGGTTGTAGTGTGGTGGGTTATACTTGCTGCCAACACTCCTCTGCTGCAAAAAGCTCCTGCAAGGCTTCCAGTTGGCTCCACTAGGCTAAGCTGCTGTGGTGGTTGTAGTGTGGTGGGTTATACTTGCAGCCAACACTCCTCTGCTGCAAAAAGCTCCTGAAATGCTTCCAGTTAGATCCACTGAGCTAAGCTCCACCGTTCAGGGTTACAGTTGTTAGCTGGGTGGATCAGCTGGGTGGTCTAAGTCAATGTGTGCAGCCACGCAAAGCAGGACCCAAGTAAGCTGCTGAAATTAAGAGGCTCGTGTACTTCCTGTGGGACGTTGCGGGGGCACTTCTGGCACCATATGGGGTTATGGTGCTTGGGGTGTTCCTTTAATTGTTATTTAAGGATTCTGTTCTGTTTTTATTGTAAAACTAATGTTTTCTGTTTATTGTTTTCTACATAAAACCTGAACCTAGAAACCAAATTAGGTTTAGTTGTTAGCTGTTGTGCACAACACTCATTTATTGTAACATGTAATAAAATAAATGTTGCCCTTTTGTTTGAATTAGAAAAAGAAAAGAAAAAAGAAGATATCCAAAGCCTTGAAAATACCAGTCAGTAATGTTCCATCAGAAATTGAAAAATTGAGGATCTCTTTTTTTTTAAATTCTTTTATTTTTGGCGTGTTGTTACATTGCACTTTGGCAATTAAGTAGGCATAACATCGTACATACATTTATACTGTCGAGTTGGCGACACATGTTAACATATTAACGGTTAACAATTAACATGTTAGAAGATTGGACACCTTTGTAGAGTGCTTTGTCTATTTTGGACGCCCTCCGCTCATGGTGGGTGGCATCAATTTGTGGTCTCCGTTTCTAGCCAGCTAACCTGTATTGTTTTCTCTGGCAATATATCTGGAGGACCTGGGGCTTTAGACCTGGGGGTTTTAGACTCTCACTTTTTGAATTTTTGGTACGCTCCAATATTGAAACAAATTTATACATTGTTAACATTTATTGGGTATACTTTAGACATTTTTCTGAGTATTACCATATATACCCTAATTAAGTAATTTTCCAGTACGATCTAGGTTCCCAGACCCTGTGTGTTTCACCTTACATTTTAAGTCCTGATAGAATGTTTCTTAAATGAAAACTTCTCTGACCATTATAGTTTGACTGCATCAGCTTATTAACTTTTTCATTACACTGCATACCAATGACCCTGAATATATTAGGAGATTTTGTATAGGCTGCATCAAGTCTTCCCCCTTTTTAAGAATCACCAGCACGTTTGATTTTGTGTTTCACCATTAATTCACGTTTTAGTATAACTCAATAAAGATGTATTAGGTATTTTAACTTAGTTTTTTCAGCTCTATGAGTCATTTCCATCGTTGTGGGTACACTGCAGGAGACCGGTAGAGGAACGGTAATTTACCTTTTCCTCTTCCAGTCCTCCATGGTAATTTATTTTCTTATTTAATCAATTTAAGGTTTATGACCATTACTACCCACAAAGTCCTTTCTGTCATTGACTTTTGGGTCAATTTTAGGTTTTTGTATATGCTCCGTTTCTCCCAATGACATATAAGAAAACGAGTAATGGATAGAGAAGAAAAAAAGAGGAGAGGGGTATAGGGGGGAGCCCCTCAGGCGGAGATCGGAGTTTCGTCTGGATTACGTTCGGGTTTGGTTAGTGCTGGCAGTGCCCCATTTCCTGATCCTACCTCAGCTCTCTCTATCACTTGCCTTCCAGGGTTCCCAGACCTTTTCATATGCTTTCAAGGTGCCTCTCACCGGTGCTGTGAGGTGGTCCATGATGTACCATATTGATCTGGGGGATCTCGGGTTTAAGCCATGCTTGTGCCATGGTGAGAAAATTGTGGATCTCTTGATACCAAGCCAAGGTCAGGTAGACCAAGAAAGATTTCTGCCACAACTGCCAGAAGAATTGTTTCGAAATACAAAGAAAAACCCACAGGTAACTTCAGGAGGAATACAGGCTGTTCTGGAAAAAGATGGTGTAGTTGTTTCAAGGAGAACAATACGATGATACTTGAAGTAAAATGAGCTGCATGGTTGAGTTGCGAGAAAGAAGCCTTTAATGTGCCAATGCCACAAAAAAGCCTGGTTACAATCTGGCCGACAACACCTTGACATGCCACACAGCTTCTGGCACACTGTAATTTGGAGTGACAAGACCAAAATAGAGCTTTATGGTCACAACCATAAGTGCTGTGGTTGGAGAGGGGTCAACAAGGCCTATATTGAAAAGAATACCATCTTCACTGAGTAGCATGGTGGTGGCTAACTGATGTTTTAGAGGGGTGTGAGGTCTAAAGGCACAGGGAATCTTGTGAAAATTAATGGCAAGATAAATGCAGCATGTTATCAGAAAATAGTGGCAGACAATTTGCATTCTTCTGTACGAAGACTGTACGTGGGGCGCTCTTGGACTTTCCAGCATGACAATAACCCTAAGAACAAGGTCAAGTTGACCTTCCAGTGGTTAAAGCAAAAAAAAAAAAAAGGTGAAGGTTCTGGAGTGGCCATCACAGTCTCTTGACTTTTATTTCATCGAGCCACTCTGGGGGAGATCTCAAATGTGCGGTTAATGCAAGATGACTAAAGACTTTGCATGACCTGGAGGCATTTTGCCAAGACGAATGGGCAGCTATACCACCTGCAATAATTAGAGGCCATCTAGACAACTATTACAAAAGACTGCACGCTGTCATTGAAGCTAAAGGGAACAATACACAGTATTAGGAAATAAGGGTATGCTTGTCTTTTGAACATGGGTTGTTTCCTTTTTCTTTGTTGCCATGTTTTGTTTTATGATTGGGCCATTCTGTTATAACCTACAGTTGAATATGAAGCCCCATAAAAAATAAAAGAAATGTGTTTTGCTTGCTCACTAGTGTTTTCTTTAAAAATGGTTCATATATTACCAATTCTCCCAACTTTTGAGCACAACTGTATAGGTCAGGCATTTTAAAACACTAATTATTGCCTTTCCAGGCATAGTTGGTCCCTTCCTCCCTCCTTGGGTTGCCTCTCAGTGGTTGTAGGTTGTCTCTGTTTGGTCACCACAGCGGGGTCTTGTGTAAGGAAGGGTATGGGGAAAATGAACATGCCTTTTTAGTTTAAATAAGAGCAAGGGTATAATAAAAACAGTGTATGTGTAATAATATTAATAGACATGCAAAAAGAAGATACAAAAAAATATATAAAATTTTATTGTGTCTATGAGAGCCTTTAGAGTCCTCATTGCTGGACACAAGAGTGGAGATACCTGACAGAAGGAATTTTCACATCAAACGTTTAAGTCGGAGTCAGCTTTTGAAAAAATAAATACATATAAAAGGTGGAGCTTTAAAACTGAAATACAGCGGATGTTCTGCAAAATAAAATCGGTACAGAAAATAGTGCAATATGTCTTTAAAACATTTTATTTAAAGGAATAAGAGAATAGTTGAACTCACAAGCCTGGAGTCATACCCTCATATGACTCGGGTGGTATATGTCTCTGGACCATTAGGGGTTGTCCAAACCCTTCTTGCCCAGGTTTGAGAAATACTCTAGTACAAAGTAGTAATAAAGAAATATCACAATGAATAAAGGCTTCTACGGATGTGGACAATGTATAGCATTTAAAAAAAAAAGACATATAACTGATCTAAAACCCCTTATAAATCAAACGTTTTCAATAAAAGATCATCTAACTTGCCACTCTAAAGGAGTAATTTATTTTTTTAAATGTCCGTGCAACCTTCTATATGTGGGTCGCACAATTCGAAACCTTAATATTAGGGTGGCAGAACACATAAGAAAATGGTGTGGAATCACACAGTGTCTCTAACCATTTTAGAAATATACACCAAAAAAACCCAGAAGGAATGTTCTTTAGTGCTATAAAACTTGTGAAGAAAGATTGGAGAGGAGGAGACTATATTAAAAAAATAGAAAGAGAGGAAATGAAATTAATTTTTAAATTTAATACCATGACACCACACGGGTTAAATAATGATTTTGAATTGTGCCATTTTATGAATTGATAAGGTTTTTATATTTGGTTCATTCTAAATTACATCATGTGATTTTTATTTTAATATGTGTTTAACCATTGTTTTAACTTCACATACTGTACTGTCCAGTAAAGTAACTCTTATAAATTGTGTAAATACCCTTTTATTATTATTATTATGATATCTATAGAGCGCCGTCAAATTCCGTAGCGCTTTACAATGGGTGGACGAACAGACATGTAGTTGTAACCAGACAAGTTGGACACACAGGAACAGAGGGGTTGAGGGCCCTGCTCATGAGCTTACATGCTACAGGGAGTGGGGTAAAATGAAACAAAAAGGTAAGGATAGTATTAGACTAGTAACAGTTGCAGAAGAGGAATCAGTTAGGAGCTATTAACAGTTTAATTGATACGCTTTTATGAAGAAGTGGATTTTTAACGATTTTTTGAAGGAGTGGAGACTGGGTGAGCATCTAACGGAGGAGGGAAGCGAGTTCCACAGGAACGGTGCTGTGGCGAAACCGACCTCGCCACTGGGCATTGGAGAAGACTGATTGCCAGCCTCCTGCCATGTGACTATGGCCCCTGGGATGTATGGCCCTTTAAATACATGATTTGGGTATAATGGATTTGTGTTGTGCTGCTGCTGGCCGTTTAAGAACCACCTGGGGACATAATGGAGTTACTGGGTGGCCACCATTTCCTGTATCAGAGGCACATGGTGAGAACAATGGATGAAGCACATGGTGAGAACAATGGATGGTGGCCATTTTAACTCACAGACACTGTTTGGACTTTTCAACACGGTGCCATCTCGCCAGTATTTGGTGCACAGAGACATCGTGCAGTGGTTTTGGACTATACAGCAGGGGACACATTATACAGTGATTGTTTTTCATTTAGCCTGTATATGTTCTGCAGAACCTGCATTAAACTGTATCTTTCGAAGTACTGAACAGATCTGGGTGAATTTTGGATATGTGGTTCACCCAGGGGGGTTATTGCATGTTTTGGGGTCCCTGTGATGTGTTTTATGAAACTGTATTTCTCTGTCTGTCATAATTAGATTACCCATTGTGTAAGGTAATTGTATCACAGGCAGAGGGGAGGATTTTGTGTGGGAGTGTCTGAGTGTATTGTACGTGTTATTGGTTGTTCTGTAAAACCCTGTGGGCAGTACTAAGTTTGTGGATTGGGAATAAAAGAGGCTGTATGTGCCAGTCCAGTCAGTTCACTGCTTGACCCTCAACACGGAGCTTTGTCTCGTTCTTGGGGGGATTTACTCAATGCTGTTAGAGACTGATTGCCAGGAGTGTAAGCTGCTTGGGTACTTTTCCTGTTCAGCTGCTAGCAGCTATTCGTGAGGTTCCAGTTCGGGAGTTTGGAGTGCTGCTTGGTATCCTGTTTGGGAGTTTGGGGTTCTGCAGTAGCTGTGCCTGTATCTCTGGAAAGGGGGACGATCGCCTAAACTGTTTTTACCCCTTGTGTGCGAAACGGTCCGTTACAGGTGCAGCCCTCGAGAAATCCTGAAGGCGGGCATCAGAGGTGGGAGTACGGACAGAAGATAGACGTAAGTCTTCAGCAGATCGTAAGGGCCTAGACGGGACATACTTGTGTATAAGGGAGGATAGATAGGTGGGAGCAGCATTATGTAGAGATTTGAAAGAAAGAACCAGAATTTTAAATTGAGCTCTATATTTTATAGGAATTATGGACTGTAACGGCGCAAGTTGGGAGCTCGTAAGACCACTGAGAAGCGGATTACAGTAATCAAGGCGAGAAAGGACAGTGGAATGGACCAACACCTTAGTCGCATCTGGCATTAAGTAGGGGGCGGATGCGCGCAATGGTTTGAGATGGAAATGACAGGACTTTTAAAATTTTGAATACATATAGGTGACACATTTTTACATTTTATTTTTATATATGCTTAAGGTAATACACCTTTTAGTAAACAAGTGCATATCTCTTTTATTTTGGATGCTATGACAACGTCAAATCGTCCCTAAAACATATCTTCTGAAATACACTGTATATGTTAGATTTGCCGTGTAACAATAAAGCTCGATTCTAATAACACACACGGAAGTGGAATGAGGAGTGAGAGTGTTGGAATGCAGCAACAGAGGAGACACACGACAGCCAACTGAGGAAGCCTTTTAATAAGGCGAAACACATTTTGGACTTTATTTGGGACTATTAAGTCTATCCAGAAATATCTGGCACCAACATATTGGTTTTTTTTTTTTATAAATTCTTTATTTTTGTTGTGCAGGTGGTTACAAGATACCAACAAACGCCACAACGGCGTATTGCAAGATTTATACATGTTAGACAGTGGCATGAAGAGTCGCACATATTTTGTGTTTTTTATCCAATATAACTAAACAATTGTAGTGCCCTTGTTAAGGTAAATGAAACAAGTAGAAACTATGTATGTGTGACAGTACTAGATGAGCTGTATTAGTGTGGTTAGATCTATGTGTTGAGTTACACGCTAGTTGAATCGTTATCGTAGTCACTTATGTAGATGCTATTGGTTAGCACAGTTAGTTTATCCCATCCACACTTGTATAGGTGTAAATATTGGTTGTGCGGCTACCTGTTGTCTGGACCGGAATAAGTATGGATATGGATACTCTACACATGCATAGGACATCAGCTTATCACAGTTGTAGAAAACATTTGCTTGTAACAATTGCATAAAACCTTTGCATATACTATTTGCATATAACATGTGCGAGATAGTTAGTAAGAAAAGGTAGTAGAGTATTCAGCTTAGGAGCGGGGTCGTGAGTGTGATGACAGCCTGATCTCAACATATTGTTTTTGATACTTTGTTTTTATACTTGGAGAAATAAAGCTATTTTTTAAGGATCTTTTTATATCTGGCATTTCTATATTTGGGAGCCAGCCGAGGGATAGAAGAAAAACCGCCAAGAATGCTGGGCAAGAAGGGTTTGGACAACCCCTAATGGTCCAGGGACAAATACCACTCGAGTCATATGAGGGTATGACTCCAGGCTTGTGAGTTCAACTATTCTCTTATTCCTTTAAATAAAATGTTTTAAAGACATATTGCACTATTTTCTGTACCAATTTTATTTTGCAGAACATCTGCTGTATTTCAGTTTTAAAGCTCCACCTTTTATATGTATGTATAATTATGTGTTTTTAAGTGGTGTAGGGGATACCACTTCATAGGTGTTTTTGAGCTGCAATATTCACTTACCTCCATACTGTGCACATATTTTGTTTTATATCAAAATACACCTACAATAAAATTGTATATATATATATATCTATGTATATATAAATAAATAAAAATAATACTAAATATACATATGTCCATATACAAAATTCCATAAATAATTATATAAATATACACGTAGACTTCATATATATATATATATATATATATATATATATGCATATATATTTAAATTCTACGTGCGTATTTATGTAATATTTTTACATAATTAAGTAATTTTATTGATTGCAATTTGAGGGACCTGCCTGCCAACCCAGGCCGAAAGTCCAGATAATTTAATTTGCTAGCACTATATTCTACCCTGTAACTTTTTATGACACCCTAAAACCTGTACATGGGTGGTACTGTTTTACTCGGGAGACTTCGCTGAACACAAATATTAGTGATTCAAAACAGTAAAACATATCACAGTGATTATATTTTCAGTGAAAGTTACTTTTTTTTTTCATTTTTCACACACAAACAGCACTTTTACTGATGATATAATTGTTGTGATACGTTTTCCTGTTTTGAAACACTAATATTTGTGTTTAGCAAAGTCTCCCGAGTATAACAGTAACCCCCATCCAAAGGTTTTAGGGTGTCATAGAAAGTTACATGTACAGATTTGATAGCGTTTTTGAAAGTTACAGGGTCAAATATAGTGATCAAATATTTTTATATTGAAAAAGGCCAGGTTGGTTACGTTGGTTACGTTGCCTTTGAGAGCGTATGGTAGCCCAGGTATGAGAATTACCCCCATGATGGCATACCATTTGCAAAAGAAGACAACCCAAAGTATTGCAAATGGGGTATGTCCAGTCTTTTTTAGTAGCCACTTAGTCACAAATACTGGGCAGAATTAGCATTCAATTTAGTTTTTCACTTTTTTTACACACAAACAAATATGACCGCTAATTTTGGCCAGTGTTTTCGACAAGTGGCTACTAAAAAAGACTGGACATACATGTGGGGTGTTATTCAGAGATTTATAGTGTTACAATGTCACTATTGATAAATTTAAATAATTTGTTTTGAAACCGCACTATCCTACTTGTACCTATAGGCCTATAACTTGCAAAAAAAAGCATGTAAACACTGGGTATTTTTAAACTCAGGACAAAATTTTGAATCTATTAAGCAGTTTTTTCATTTGCTTTTGTAGATGAGTAAATGATTTTTCAAGTAAAAAAACATGTATTTTTTTCAATTTTACACCATATTTTTTTATTTATTTTAAATTAAATTACATGAGATTATATAAATAATGATATGTAAAGAAAGCCTCTTTTGTCCTGAAAAAAAACAATATATAATTTGTATGGGAACAGTAAATGAGAGTGCGGAAAATTACAGCTAAACACAAACACCACAAAAAGAGGCCTGGTCGCAAATGTACAACATCGCAAAAACAGTCCGGTCCTTAAGGGGTTAATTATATACATTATATAACATCAGCATAAACGCTACACATTTTACATAATCAAAAACATGTCTGACACTTAATCACACCACATATCTGTACCATAGTACAAAAAATATATAGGGTGATTCCAGGGCCAGATTAAGAGCCCAGTGGGCCTAGTGCTGACAATTATGATGGGCCTGATTACAGAATCTTATCGACCAAAAACATGAATGCAGTCATACCTCTCAAGCGTCCTGTATCTGATGGCGATGGTGTTGGAGGGAAACTCAAAGGATGCAGCTATAAGAAAACACACACTCTATGCTAATCTCTCTCTAATTTATGCTTTTATCTTTCAAGTTAATCTATACCCCCTAACAGCAGTGTCCATTGAAGCAGGAAGTCAATGGGCGGGGTAAAAGGGTGGGCCACTGATGTGAATCACGTGGCCAGAACAGCCAAAATGGGCAAACATGCCCCCAAAAAATGCCCAAAAAATGATTGGAAGGCCAACCTGGCATCAGTGTCCCTATGTATCACAGTGTCAGTGTCCCCATGTCGCCCAGTCCCCTAGTCTCCTAGTGTCTGTGTCCCCATTTCCCGCAGTGTCGCAATGTCTCAGTGTGCCCTGTGTCACTGGGATACTTGGGGACACTGAGAGACATGGGGACACAGTGAGACATGGGAACACTGAGCGATCCAGTGACACTAAGACACTTGGGGACACTGGGAGACATGGGGGCACTTGTGGATCCAGACATGGAGACACTGGAAGAAAGGGGGACACAGACACTAGGGACACAGAGACAAACAGACAGACACTGGGAGACATGGGGACACTGAGAAATTTGGCGACACTAAGACACCTGGGGTCACTGAGAGACATGGAACACAGACACTGGGGCACTAGGGTACACTGGGAGACATGGGGACACTGAGACACTAGAAACACTGGCTGGGAGGCATGGGGACAAAGACACTTGGGACACTAGGATACATGGGGCACTTGTGGACATAGACATGGGGACACTGAGACATTTGGGGACACTGGGAGACATGGGGACACTGGGTACACTGAGAGACATGGGAACACAGACACTGGGAGACATGGGGACACTGAGACACTGGCTGGGAGACAAAGAGACATGGGTACACTGAGAGACATGGGGACACAGACACTGGGAGACTAGGGGACACTGAGACACTAGAGACACTGGCTGGGAGACACGGGGACATTGGGAGACATGTAAACACTGTGTGCCTAGTGTCTCCATGTCACAATGTGTCTCCCAATGTCCCTATGTCTCACAGTGTCCCCATGTGTCTCAGCGTCCCCATGTCTCCATGTGTCTCAGCGTCCCCATTTCTAGTGTCTCAGTGTCCCCATGTCCCCAGTGTCCCCATGTCTAGTGTCTCAGTGTCCCCATGTTTCCCAGTGTCCCCATGTTTCCCAGTGTCCTCATGTGTCCCCTAGTCTCTCAGTGTCCCCATATCTCCCTGCTGCCTTTCCACCCATTCTTCACTTACCTGAGCTGTAGGCTATCTCTGCAGGCTGTGAGCTGCTGTCTGGACTCTCTGTGTTGTGTAGCTGCTCCCCTGTGGATCAGTGAGTACAAAGAGGCAGGGAGGGATATGCTGTAACTTCCTATCCCTGCCTCTCTCCACACACAGTGACCCCTACTGGCTGGTGCTGGTATTGCAGAGTAATCTCTGTTTATTCTGAGAAAAATATCTGCATTTGTATTGCCGGTATTACTGCAATACAGGCACGGCCAGCAAGCCTCAAAAAAATAAATAAAATACCAGGCAGGTTGCAAACCTAAGAGTAGTGTGTAAAAAAAGAAAAAAAAGTTTAAAAAAATGTTTTTTTTTTATGGGCCTATTTCATGGGCTTGGGCCTGGAGCTGCAGCTCCATCAGCCCCTATGTTAATCCGGCCCTAGGTGATTCACTAAACACCAGATTTTAAAAATAAAAGATAAATCCAGGCACTCCAATGAATTCCAAAGTGAAGGCAATTTATTTAGAATCCAGGACCAAAAAGCAACGTTCAAACCCCTTAGGGCCTTTGTCAAGCTATTTATTTTTTTTTGTAACTCAGTGTTTGGTCCTATTTGGTACTGGGACTTGTCCATTGGAGCACCCATAGACGCTGGGTGGTGGCCCTAAAATAATAATAATATTAATAATAAATGGGGGGCACACACCCATGGACACTGGGTGGTGGCCCTAAAATAATAATAATAATAATAATAATAATCATAAGGGTGGGATCTAGTGTCCCTTGGCTCCCATAGGAATTTTGTTTATTTATTTTGCTATTTTAGTGTGGTGACTATTTAACCATAGCTGTCCGGCCACCACATAACTGGGTATGGGAAGACCAAACAGAAGCCACATGCAATGAGTAGAGCCTCACAACGTTGTCATGGTAGACGTATAACAAAAGAATACAATGACACTTTGATTCCAAATGGCATGAATAAAGATTTTGAGTTGTGCCATTTTTTATAGCTATTCTTTATAATGATTTTTTTTCATATTTTACATCCTGAATGTAACATCTTGTGATTATTTGTACCATATATTCATTGCATCTCCGTTGCTCCTATTCAATTTCGAGATATATATATACGGTTGCACTTTATCTGCTTTTTCCTATTCTTCATACGCTACATTGATAAATGGTTTCTATGCCACAATATACTATTGTATAAAACATATTTAGAAAGCTTGGTGCTACATATTTTCAGTGTCTTTCACAACAGATTTTTTACATTTATTATTTTTTTCTCCCCTTTAACTATAAATGCTATTGCACTATCTTGTAATTTTGTGGGTTTAATATTTGTATTTCCTGCTTAACGTTGAATTTTAATTTTTATTGATTTTTATTGATTCTGTATTGTTTTTTTATTGATTAGATATATATATTGCCAAAGCTGTTTGTACTATACACCACTGTATGGTTATTTTTTTCTAAATTGTTTTAAACATCAATATATCACTGCATTCAGATGAAAAGGTGATTCCCTGTTTATCTGTTAGAGGCTGGACCCCGTGACCGGACTAAAGTTTCCCCGGCTTATCGGCTCATTGGGACCACAGCTGAGGGACACGGACAGAGCCAGAACCACATGTTTGTTCAATCCGGTAGGACTTCTGGGACTTCTTCTGCAGACTGCTGCAATTGTCTGGATATTTGACACAGAACGCTTGTGAGTAACGGAGCCTCTCTGCCCGCATAAATCTCACCAACTTACACACTGTAATCAGTATTTAACCATTTCGTATGCTTTTTTTTGTTATTAAAATTGTTTACTTTTATCAATATTTGGATATACTGCACGATTATTATTGTATTTTCTCTTTGCATGCCATTGAGAATCTACTACAACGTAGGTATACATTTAAAAAAAAATAAAAAAATTCTTCACATAAGGTCTATAGGCAGGTTTCTCTGCCATTTTGCGCTCCACTTATTCTATTCTTTTGAAATTTCTCCACGAGTGTGTTTGTGTCTGGAATCACAACACTTAAGTGTGCAGCGGCATATCACTTTTCCCACACATAATGTGGTACTACTAATAATATATATGAAGGTGGTGTGCATTTATATATAATTTTTCCCATTTTTTATTATATTCACCTTGAATGCCTTTTTACCACTTTTTTTACTACATTTTATTTTTTCAGACGTATAACAGATGTTGGATGAGTCGAGGATCTAGAATACTAGGGACAGGGACAGATGGCAGAATACCTGAAGAGTAGGTATATATCATGAGGTCCTGGTAACATGTAGTACTAGTTACATAGCACCTGTAACTTTGCAACTACACTAGCGAATAACACACATTTGTTCTGCCATATTGCCTACAAAGACAAGTTTAATAGGGAACTGCAGGCTACAAACACATGAAAGATTGTATCTGGAAGTATAATGTTACTGTGATCCAACACTTGTGGTTAAGAGCCTGGACTGATCGCTGTTAAAGCACGCCTAGACTTGTCAATGTTACCAAATTGTAATTGTGCATTACTGTCGATCTGTGTAAAACCCAAAATAAGGATTTTAACACAAACAAAAATTACAATAGACACTTTACAAATAAGCAAGGAAGATACTGAAATCGAAACTTGTAATTCTGAAAAAATGATTTATCTCATGACCAGACACAGCATTTTACAATATCCGTGTGTTGTCCACACATACATCTTAGTAATGTTTAATCAGCACATGTCAGACACTAATAAACCGAATACATACAAATAGCATAACCTTAGCAGAAAAGAATATACTAACATACAGGGCCGGCGCTACCTGTAAGGCGGACTAGGCAGCCGCCTAGGGCGCCCCTTGGGAAGGGGCGCCGCCAGGAGCGCCGGCCCCCCCATGCTGCAGCCGCCCGAGCGCTCTGTAGAGAGCCTCAGGCGGCTGCAGCTTTGCCCGGGCGGTGCGTCCATGAGGGCGGACCGCACCGCCCGGGCGCAACCTGAGGAGAGGCTGACAGGAGGGAGCGCTCAGCGTTCAGCGCTCCCTCCTGTCAGCTTCCTTTGCTGTAGCGTGGCCGAGCCCGGCAGCATTGATAGTCCGAGGGTACAGAGAGCAGCTGTCTCCTGTACCCGGCCGGACTAACAGGAAGTGCACACTGAGTGTTCACTTCCTGTTAGTCCGGCCGGGTACAGGAAACAACAGCTCCCTGTACCCGCGGACTATACTAGGCTCGGCCACGCTACTACACAGGTAGGGGGGAGGGGAGAAGAAAGAAACAGAGAGGGAGGGAGGAAGAAACAGAGAGGGAGAGGAAAAAAAAGAGAACAGAGAGGGAGGGAGAGGAGGAGAGAAGAAAGAAACAGAGGGAGGGAGAGAGGAGGAGAAAGAAACAGGGAGGGAGAGAGGGGGAGAAAGAAACAGGGAGGGAGAGAGGAGGAGAAAGAAACAGGGAGGGAGAGAGGAGGAGAAAGAAACAGGGAGGGAGAGAGGAGGAGAAAGAAACAGGGAGGGAGAGAGGGGGAGAAAGAAACAGGGAGGGAGGGGGAGAAAGAAACAGGGAGGGAGGGGGGAGAAGGAAACATGGAGGAGGGGAAGGAGGGGGGAGAAACAGGAGGGAGGGGGGAAGAAAGAGGGAGGGGGGAAAGAAGGAAACAGGGAGGGGAGGGGGAAGAAGGAAACAGGGAGGGGAGGGGAAAGAAAGAAACAGGGAGGGAGGGGGAAGAAAGAAACAGAGAGGGAGGGAGGGGGGAGAAGGAAACAGGGAGGGAGGGAAAGAAACAGGGAGGGAGGGGGAAGAAAGAGGGAGGGAGGGGGGAGAAGGAAACAGGTAGGGAGGGAGGGGGGAGAAGGAAACAGGGAAGGAGGGGGAAGAAAGAAACAGGGAGGGGGAAGAAAGAAACAGGGAGGGGAGGGGGGAAGAAATAAACTGACGGGAGGGGGGAGAAAGAAACTAACAGGGAGGTGGGGGGAAAGAAACTAACAGGGAGGTGGGGGGAAGAAACTAACAGGGGGGAACTAACAGGGAGGGGGGAGACATTGACAGGGAGGGGAATTGACGGGGAGAGAGAAATTGACAGGGAGGGGGGAGTGACAGGGGAGGGAGGGGGAATGAGAGTAACAAGGGAGGGGGGGAGAAGAGAGTGACAAGGGAGGGGGGAGAGATTGACATCCATCACACACACACACACAATCACACACAATGCACCCCTTACACACAAAGACAATGAACCCCTTGCACACAGAAAAACACACAATGCATTACACACACACACGCAATGCAACCCTTACACACAATGCATCCCTTACACACACAGAAACACACAATGCATTCCTTACACACACTCAATGCACCCCTTAAACACACTCAAAGCACCCCTTACAGACTCACACACTTCATCCCTTACATACACAGAAACACACCTTGCAGCCCTTACACATACAAACAAAGTTCACACAATGCATTCCTTACACACAAATCAGGACATCCCCTACACACTCCACCCCCTGTGAACAAACTCATTGGTGGAACACGAAGGTGGACCCTGGGACCCAGACCTTGAGCTGTGTAAAGGGCCCCCAAAAAAATGGAGCTGCTTCCCGTTCTCCCAGAACATTGATTTTTGTGACCACAGTTACAAACAGCCTCCAGAGATCCTGTTATACACCAGACCAGTGGAGCCAGACTGCAGCTAGAGCCCATCATCATCCTCATCTGCTTGTAAGTAGGTAATCTAGTATATTATTCGTGGCACTAATCTCTAATTTACCTCACATTAAAGAAACACTATAGTCCCCAGAACCACTGCACCTTAATGTAGTGGTCCTGGTGTCTATAGCCTGTCCCTGCAGGCCTTTTAATGTAAACACAGCGGCACTGCAGCACTAGCGTTAGTTAACATGGCAGGTCATATGGGTGGGGCATTGTGATGTCACGGGGGGGAGGGGGCGGCAAACTTTACTTTTGCCTAGGGCGGCAAAAATCCTTGCACCGGCCCTGCTAACATAGAATTATAGATTGGCTTTATCGCTCCTCCTTTTTCTTCCTCAATTGGTCATGTATTATTTGATTTGTGGATATGATCAAGATTTAAAGAATGTCTCCTAGCTATCAATCATCAATAATCCCATTTTATGGTGTCACAGCTGGAATTGGGAATCACAAACTGCTTCAGCTGTGTTTAAGCTTAGAATTCTGAAATTGGAACGCTCACTACACCGACCCATACACAGACAAATGGCAGTTTGTAATAAAATGTATCTTAATGGTGCAGTGCAATTACTGTGTGTTTACCAATAAGTAATTAGATTAAATATAGAAAAAGGACTGTTAGGCTTATTTACAAATTTTAAAACTGTGGTGAATTAAAACACAAATGAATTTAGGACAAAATAGCTGAACTGAAAACGAATATCCAACCACGGCTTTTAATGTATTCCAACCATTGTGCATTGTACTTACATTACCTTTTACACTAACTGAGAGCCTATCTAATACTCTATCCTGCCCTCCACAGCCCACGGCTTTTAATGTATTCCAACCATTGTGCATTGTACTTACATTACCTTTTACACTAACTGAGAGTCTGTCCAATAATCTATCCTGTCCTCCACAGCCCACGGCTTTTACTGTATTCCAACCATTGTGCATTGTACTTACATTACCTTTTACACTAACTGAGAGTTTGTCCAATACTCTATACTGCCCTCCACAGCCCACGGCTTTCAATGTATTCCAACCATTGTCCATTGTACTTACATTACCTTTTACACTAACTGAGAGTCTGTCCAATACTCTATCCTGCCCACCACAGCCCACGGCTTTTAAGGTATTCCAACCATTGTGCATTGTACTTACATTACCTTTTACACTAACTGAGAGTCTGTCCAATACTCTATCCTGCCCTCCACAGCCCACGGCTTTTTTTTTTTTTTTTGAATATTTAATCTTTATTTTGAATTTTTTTCTTTTAAATCTCATTAAATACAAATATCATACAAATACCAATATCATACAAATATACATTTGTAATACAAACAAACAACACAGCAGCAAAATAGGGGAGGGAGAAGAAAAATACATCAGAAAGACTTCCATAATAGAGTGGTAATATCATTTAGATAAATCTCATAATTATTTGCAGTGTTCATGGAATTGTTCTACTGTTAATTGAACGACACTATTTTATACATCAATCATCTCAATACACTTTAACCAAACAGAAATCTTATTGCTTAGTCTTTGTTTACTTAGCATCAGCTCCATTCTAATCTGAAACTCGAGTTGAGTTTTAACTTTCTTCCAGGGGACTTCTAAATCCCTTTTCCACCATCTCGCAATTACTATTTTAGCCGCTAAAAACAGATGTATAAGGATTGCTTTTAATTCATATGTCATATGAGGCCAATTTAGATGAAGTAGAACTACCTCTGGAGAGATAATCAACTCGAGTTTTAAATTGTTAGATATAAAATGCTGCATTTTCAACCAGAGATTTTTTAATTTATAGCAATCCCACCAAATATGTCTAAAATTGCCTCTAATACTATTGCATCTCCAACAGATAGGATTTACTAGAGGGTAAATTTTATTCAATTTAGCTGGTACTAAGTACCACCTATTTAAAACTTTAAAGTGCGTTTCTAATAAATTTAATGAATGTATATTCTTCTTAACATCCATCATTGAAGAACCCCATTGATTCAGATTTATATCGATATTCAAGTCTTGTTTCCAAGCCTGTATAGCAGTAGGATTTGTGTCTTCAGCTATTGATTTAATTAGTATTAGAGCTTTAGAAAGTGGTTTATTAACTTTTTTTGATGTAAATAATAAATCTATCGAATTGCTTAAATTAGATTTTGGTATTATTAGATGTGTATTTATATAGCTTTTAAGTCTTAAAAAATTAAACACCTCTCTAGGAGGGAGATTGTGTATCTTTGTTATTTGAGCAAAGGTTTTAATTAATCCTTCTGTCAATAATTGGTCCAGAGTCGTTATCCCTACTTTTTTCCAATTATTTAAGTTTAAGTCTTCCACTTGTTTTTCTACAATATCTAACTCTAAATAACTTGGAACTTTTTTTTCTATATTCATTACTTTTTTAATTTTTAACCAATTTTCCAGTAATTGAGTTAGAATAATACTGGCATATTCTTTTTTCTTTGGCATTTTATTTATATTCCAGATTAAACAATCTAAGCTAGAAACTTCTCCTGCCTTCAATTCCATTTTATACCATCCCTCATCTTTATTTTCTTTCATTTGCATTCTATAGACATGTAGGGTAATAGCTGCTTTAAAGTTATTCATTATGAGTGGATAATCAAGTCCACCTTTATATATTTTCTGCGCTAATATTGACTGTTTCAATCTCGGCTTCTTGCCTTTCCAGATGTATTGAGTAAAACTTCTTTGTATTAATTGAAGCCAATGGATTGGGATATGTAAAGGTAACATTTGAAACATATAATTCCACTTTGGTATAACATATGAATTGATAACATTTATTCGCCCCAAAAAAGTAATCTCTAGGTTTCTGCGATCTTTTAACCATTTATTGAGATCTAATAATAATGTTAGGAAATTTACTTCCATAATCTTATTTGTCTCTCTAGTTATTTTAATTCCTAAGTAATCCATACTTTCTTTAACCCAAATAAAATCATATTTGTTTTTAATCTCTCGTTGTATCCTTTTACTTAGGTTAACATCTAGTATCAAGGATTTATTTATATTTAACTTATAATTTGATATGAAGCTATATCGCTCTATTTCTTGCATTATGCGTTCCAAAGAATTTTTAGGGTTTGTAAGAGTAATTAAAATGTCATCAGCATATAAGCTAATTTTTTGATCCTCATCCATTATTTTATAACCATGGATCTCTTTATTATTCCTAATATTCTCAGCCAATGGCTCAATAGTCAGCAAGTAGAGCAATGGTGAGAGGGGACAACCCTGTCGGGTACCATTTCTAAGTTGGAACCATGGGGCGACTATATTAGGTCCAATAGTTCGTGCAACAGGATTTACATATAGTGCCATTATAGCTTTCTTAATCCAACCTTCCAATCCATAATGTTGTAAAACGGCTTCTAAATATTTCCAGCTGACTCTGTCGAATGCTTTTTCAGCATCAATCGACAGAGTCAGAACTGGAACATCATATCTATTTGCATCATCCAAGATATTAATAATTTTCCTTATACTTGTATAGGAATTTCTACCTGGAACATATCCTATTTGATCTTTATGGATGATTAGTGGAAGAAGTTTTTTTATTCTAGCAGCCAAAACCGAAGCGTATAACTTAGTGTCAACATCTATTAAAGATATCGGACGGTAGTTTTTGATATCAGTGGGGTTTTTATCATTTTTTAGAATAGGCAAGATATTAGCTTTTAGCATCTCTGCTGGTAAAAATCCTCTGTTTGCCGCTATGTTAAAAGCAGAGGTCAAATGTGGACATATTAAATCTTTAAATGTTTTATAAAATAGGTTGCTAAACCCATCCGGGCCTGGTGTTTTAGATTTTTCTAAATCATTTATTGCTTTCATAGTCTCCTCCATAGTTATAGGTTTATTTAAGAAATCATTTTCAATAGAAGTTAATTGAGGCTTCTTTATATTATTTAAATAGTTTTTAATATCCTCATCTGTATTAATCTGAGGAATATTGTATAGATTGGAATAGTATTCATTAAAACACTTTCCAATCTCTCTGGGGGTTAGTGCTATTTTTCCGTTCTGTATTATTTTGTCTACCTTATTTTGTACTTTTTGTTTTCTAAGTTTTTGGGATAGCATCTTTTCAGCTCGATTGCCTTTGGAATAATATTTAAATTTTAGTCTAACCATATTTTTAGCTATCGTGTCCATTAATTTTTGCTTTATTTTTTCTTTAAGTTCTAATATTTTTTCATAAATTTCAGAAGATGGAGATTGTTTATTGATATTAGTCAAATCTCTTAATTTTGTATGTAAAAATGCCAAAGTATTATTTTTATCAAGTTGGCTTTGTAACTTGATAATATGACCTCTTATAACGGCCTTAAAGGCACACCACAAAATAGATGAATCAATATTTTCTGAGATATTTTCTTTAAAATAATTTTTTATATTATCTCTTATATGAGTTTTTTTTGATTCACAACAAAGCAAATTATCTCTTAACCGCCAAGTATAAGCTTCTCTTTTAAATGTACTAAAAATCATTTCACAAAAAACTCCATCATGATCTGTCCATACTATCTCGTCAATCTTTGTTTTTTTGGTCATATCAATAATACTTGGGTCGACCCAAATCATGTCTAATCTTGAATAGGAAAAATGCACTTTAGAAAAATGCGTATAGTCTCTCTCATTAGGATTAAAAATTCTCCAAATATCAAATAGATTATATTCATCTTTAATTTTTTTTAAGGCTTTTGCTTGTTTTATAACCATCTGATTTAAAATATTTCCTTTCATTAATTTTTTATCTATCTGAGGGTCTAGTACAGCATTGAAATCCCCCGCCACTATTAACTTTCCCACTTTAACTTCATCTACTTTTTCCAGAATTGTTTTTAAATAAGCAACTGGTAAATGATTGGGAAGATATATATTACATAATGTAAAAAGTATAGAGTCAATTTTGCATATTATTATTAAATACCTGCCTTTAGTGTCTTGTATTTGATGAATTACTTCAACTTTAATCTTTTCTCCAAATACCACAGCTACTCCACATTTTTTTTTTTCCTTATTGGAAGCTTGAATTATAAGTGGAAATCTTTTACCCCCCCAATTTTGTTTATCCACTTGTCTCCAGTGAGTTTCTTGTAGGAATATTAAATTCAATTGTTTTTCACTGAGGTATTTGTACAATAGATTTCTTTTCGCTATAGTATTCAATCCCTGAACATTAAGTGTAAGCATTTTTATCATATTATTTTCAAAAACCTCCCTGCATCCCTTTCCACTCGATAACCATTGCCCTTCCCTATTGCTGCATAAACATATCTACACAAACACATAGAACAAAATATTAAAATCATAGGAGGAAATCCTCCTTTTTTATCACAAAGACTGTAAATTTTCATATAGAAATTCAGTCTTTACTGTGTCTTTAAATTAGACACTAAGTGGGCGTATCCAGAAAGAGGTAGTAATATTTACAAGTTTGCAATCTCTCTCCAAGAGGGAGAGAGAGAGAAGAGAAAAAAAAAATAAAAATTTTTTCTTCCATTATTTTATACTTAAATCAGTTACTCTGTGATTCTTTACTTTAAATAAATCTATTTCCACTTAACTTACTAATACATGTGAATAATTTTCTTTTAACCACCTCGTTAAGTTCAAATCTAATTAATATCAATACTTAGACATATTTGCTTTTAAATCCTTATGTTCCAAGTGCTTGTGTGCATATACTTAATTCTCAATTGACTAGTAGCTTTAAAATGAAAACAAGCCCCATTAACATCAACAAATTAGCAAATTGTGCAAAGCACAATTAAGTAATTCTATATGAGTGGAGAGAAAAAAAATAAAAAAAAAAAAAAAAAAATTCTTCCATTATTTTATACTTAGATCAGTTACTCTGTGATTCTTTACTTTAAATAAATCTGTTTCTACTTAACTTACTAATACATGTGAATAACTTTCTTTTAACCACCTCGTTGAGTTCAAATCTAATTGATATCAATACTTAGACATATTTGCTTTTAAATCCTTATGTTCCAAATGCTTGTGTGCATACACTTAATTCTCAATTGACTAGTAGCTTTAAAGTGAAAACAAGCCCCAATAACATCAACAAATTAGCAAATTGTGCAAAGCACAATTAAGTGATTCTATATGAGTGAAAAAAAAAAAAAAAAAAGTTAATTTTCTTCCTCTTTCATTCCTTCCTCTCTCCCTCCTCTCTCTTCTCCTCTCTTCTCTCTTCCTTCCATCTTCCTCTCCGCCGCAACAGACCCTTCAAGCTTTTTTATTAATACTTGATAACCAACTATTTGCTTCATTTGCATCCAAAAAAATTTTTCTTTCTTGTTTCCAAGTAAATCTTAAAGATGTTGGATAGGCCCATTGAAACCTGATCTCTGCTTTTCTTAAAAAATCCGTCACGATAGAGAAAGATTTCCTCCAAGTCCTGGTATGATAAGATAAGTCTTGCAAAAAAATTATGTCTTTGTAAATAGAATTTGTTCGGGGTTTGGTACGGCAGGCTTTCATTAAATTATTTCTCAATGATAATGAGGAAAAACTCACTATTACATCTCTTGGGAGATGTGGAGCCGTTGTATCTGGTTTATGTATCCGGTGAAAATTTTCTATTTTATATTCATCTGCATTGTACTTACATTACCTTTTACACTAACTAAGAGCCTATCCAATACTCTATCCTGCCCTCCACAGCCCACGGCTTTCAATGTATTCCAACCATTGTGCATTGTACTTACATTACCTTTTACACTAACTGAGAGCCTATCCAATACTCTATCCTGCCCTCCACAGCCCACGGCTTTTAATGTATTCCAACCATTGTCCATTGTACTTACATTACCTTTTACACTAACTGAGAGTCTGTCCAATACTCTATCCTGCCCACCACAGCCCACGGCTTTTAATGTATTCCAACCATTGTGCATTGTACTTACATTACCTTTTACACTAACTGAGAGTCTGTCCAATACTCTATCCTGCCCTCCACAGCCCTCGGCTTTTAATGTATTCCAACCATTGTCCATTGTACTTACATTACCTTTTACACTAACTGAGAGTCTGTCCAATACTCTATCCTGGCCTCCATAGCCCACGGCTTTTAATGTATTCCAACCATTGTCCATTGTACTTACATTACCTTTTACACTAACTGAGAGTCTGTCCAATACTCTATCCTGCCCACCACAGCCCATGGCTTTTAATGTATTCCAACCATTGTGCATTGTACTTACATTACCTTTTACACTAACTGAGAGTCTGTCCAATACTCTATCCTGCCCACCGCAGCCCACGGCTTTTAATGTATTCCAACCATTGTGCATTGTACTTACATTACCTTTTACACTAACTGAGAGTCTGTCCAATACTCTATCCTGCCCACCACAGCCCACGGCTTTTAATGTATTCCAACCATTGTGCATTGTACTTACATTACCTTTTACACTAACTGAGAGCCTATCCAATACTCTATCCTGCCCTCCACAGCCCACGACTTTTAATGTATTCCAACCATTGTCCATTGTACTTACATTACCTTTTACACTAACTGAGAGTCTGTCCAATACTCTATCCTGCCCTCCACAGCCCACGGCTTTCAATGTATTCCAACCATTGTCCATTGTACTTACATTACCTTTTACACTAACTGAGAGTCTGTCCAATACTCTATCCTGCCCACCACAGCCCACGGCTTTCAATGTATTCCAACCATTGTCCATTGTACTTACATTACCTTTTACACTAACTGAGAGTCTGTCCAATACTCTATCCTGCCCACCATAGCCCACAGCTTTTAATGTATTCCAACCATTGTGCATTGTACTTACATTACCTTTTACACTAACTGAGAGCCTATCCAATACTCTATCCTGCCCTCCACATCCCACGGCTTTCAATGTATTCCAACCATTGTCCATTGTACTTACATTACCTTTTACACTAACTGAGAGCCTATCCAATACTCTATCCTGCCCATGACTTTTAATGTATTCCAACCATTGTGCATTGTACTTACATTACCTTTTACACTAACTGAGAGTCTGTCCAATACTCTATCCTGCCCACCACAGCCCACGGCTTTTAATGTATTCCAACCATTGTGCATTGTACTTACATTACCTTTTACACTAACTGAGAGCCTATCCAATACTCTATCCTGCCCTCCACAGCCCACGACTTTTAATGTATTCCAACCATTGTGCATTGTACTTACATTACCTTTTACACTAACTGAGAGTCTGTCCAATACTCTATCCTGCCCTCCACAACCCACGACTTTTAATGTATTCCAACCATTGTCCATTGTACTTACATTACCTTTTACACTAACTGAGAGTCTATCCAATACTCTATCCTGCCCACCACAGCCCACGGCTTTTAATGTATTCCAACCATTGTGCATTGTACTTACATTACCTTTTACACTAACTGAGAGTCTATCCAATACTCTATCCTGCCCTCCACAGCCCACGATTTTTACCAGTTTCAGTATACTTACTGCACTGGTCAGTTATGATTTTTTATAGGACCACTATAGGCATCCAGACCACTTTAGCTTAATGAAGTGGTCTGGGTGCCAGGTCCATCTAGGGTTTATCCTAAATTTTCACAGTGACAACACGCTTGCGTCCATAGGAAAGCAATGAAAATGCTTTCCTATGGACTGACTAAATGCGCGCACGGCTCTTGCCACACATGCGCATTTGGCAGATGAAGGAGAAGAGTCCCCAGCGCCAAGGGAGCCCTGCGCTGGAGAAAGATAAGTGTTTAACCCCTTCCTCATTCTAGAGCCCATGGGAGGGGGACCATGACGGTGGGACCTATTAATACTATAGTGCCAGCAAAACGAGTTTGTTTTCCTTGCACTATAGACTGTGACGGCAGATAAAAACCATTCGGCCCATCTAGTCTGCCCAATTTTCTAAATACTTTCTTTAGTCCCTAGGCTTATTTTATAGTTAGGATAGCCTTATGCCTATCCCACGCATGCTTAAACTCCTATAGTATAGAAACATAGAATGTGACGGCAGATAAGATCCATTATAGTGGTCCTTTAAGCACAGCATCACAAATAAGTTCAGTTAATACAAATGACTGTTTCAAGTTTGCTCCTTCAAAAGTGTCTATTTTTAGGTAAAATGAGTTAATTGAATATCATTACATCTTTAACCTCAGCAGAAGAATGATTTTTGTTTATATCCCATTCAATCCCTGAGAACCTGTTAGAATTTTAGATCAAATATAAAGAATCTACGGTGATTGTGGGAAAACCAATGTTTCATAGAGCAGTCCATTCTGAGATGTCACATTACATCATCGATATATGAACCTTCCACCAACAACCTGACCACTTTCATCAGAATAATTGGTATGATTTATTTATTTATTTCTAAAAAGTGTGGATTCATTTCTAAGGTTTACAACCTATATCTTATTTGAGTGAAGTATCTTTAGGTTTATAGATTAATGGTTTGATATTTGTTTATCTATATTTAGTGTTACTGAGTTTTGAATACATTCTTACAAATTGATTGGGGTTATTTGTGATAACTTTCCACAAGGCTATTCTGGTTTATCAATACTTGTTTGAACTCAATACATAATGTAGATTTATTTCTTAACATTAACTTTGAAACAATATGGAAAGTCACACTTCTACCTACATCTTGACCTTTTTTTTTTTTTTGTCAATCTCTTTTTATTGAAATGTTTGTTTTTATAGCATCAATGCAAGATAGGTTACAGAAACAAAGTAATAGATAAGCACATACGATTATGAGCATGTTTGTGCATTTGTCTCGAGATAGGAATTTAATCAAATGACGTGCAACCCAACATTGATACTTTAGCAGGGGTGTGTGAAGTGCTTAGGGACAACGTCCGTATGGAGCAAGAGATCAGACAGACAGAGAATAATACTGCTTTATAAGATGTGGTAATGGCCTTTGGCTTTAGATCAATTAATTGGTGGGAATGGCATGTTTGGATATAAGGACATGGCTGTTGTACCCCCTGAACCCAGCACTATGACCACTTTTAGGAATGATCTGCATAACAAACCACAACACGTGATCATAATGTAACCTAATACGCAGACGGTTTAGTTGTTTTAATATAAAACACAATCTCACTTGGACATGGAGCGCAGATCGGCGATCTGAAGCAGTAGCCAAGATAAATCACGGCACATGGACACTGGCAGAGTCTGGCATCGGGGGTGGTTGTTTTGATGGATGATGCCGTGCCTGGAACTGGAAAAAAAAAGGAAATTTGATTTTAGGAATGAGTTACTGGAGAGATAGCACGTTATTTGGGAATGATTTGTGTATTGTATAAATAATTCTGGGGAAAAGTGAACCAGACAACAATCATCATTTTCAAGAATGTGTGAGACATGTACAATAAATGTATTGCATGCTTCAATGTTAAAATTAATCATATCTTTCTTTCTAAGAAGTAATAAGTACTTTTACCGAGAGGACTCAAACATTGACACATTTTCTGGTGTTTGATTGCACAATAAAACTTCCAGATTTATTTAGTCCTGTGAGTGCACCTTCCTTGTAACGTATATTTTGGCAGAAGTCATTTTCACCCAGGCAAGGACAAGACCGGGAGAGTGAGTGCTGGATCCATGTGCATATATATATTTTAGTACTATGTCAATATACATATGTTTACTGTTTCTCTTTTTGGAAGAAGCACCTCAGACAAACTATATATATATTTGTGTAGCGGGTCAACTGCTTAGGCATAGAATAAGTATTAAGTTGTACTAGTAGTAGCAAGTCATTTGTAGTGTGCCGAACCCGATGAACCGGGTAGGCCTGAAAAAGAGGATTCACCTATTGAAAGAGTATAAAAAAGGAGAGGTGGGTCGGTTTCCAAAAAACACAGGCTTAAAAGTCAGGAGGAAGATGGGAGGACGTAGCAGATATAAGCCTCCCACAACTCCAGGCATCCTGCCTTACATATACAGTATCTCCCAAGAGTGAGTACACCCCTCACATTTTTGTAAATATTTTATTATATCTTTTAATGTGACAACACTGAAGAAATGACACTCTGCTACAATGTAAAGTAGTAAGTGGACAGCCCGTATAACAGTGTAAATTTGCTGGCCCCTCAAAATAACTCAATACACAGCCATTAATGTCTAAACTGTTGGCAACAAAAGTGAGTACACACCTAAATGGAATACGCTGAATGGGCCCCTGATGGAGTCTTAAAGGTGCTCCTCTCTTCAAGGCTGCTTTAATATGTCACCAGAGGAGAGTCAAAGTCTAGTAATACAGAGTATTACATACAGTGTAATGAATACAAGATAGAAAGATGGAAGATTATATTAACATTTACATTTTTAAAGATTTTTTATTGAAATTATAGAGAGTATTAACGCACTAATCACCCACACACAATAACAATGCTGAGTTATAAAACTTACCAGGAACGGTTAAAGGATCTTAACATGTATAGCTTGGAGGAAAGACGAGACAGGGGGGATATGATAGAAACATTTAAATATATAAAGGGAATCAACACAGTAAAGGAGGAGACTATATTTAAAAGAAGAAAAACTACCACAACAAGAGGACATAGTCTTAAATTAGAGGGACAAAGGTTTAAAAATAATATCAGGAAGTATTACTTTACTGAGAGGGTAGTGGATGCATGGAATAGCTTTCCAGCTGAAGTGGTAGAGGTTAACACAGTAAAGGAGTTTAAGCATGCGTGGGATAGGCATAAGGCTATCCTAACTATAAGATAAGGCCAGGGACTAATGAAAGTATTTAGAAAATTGGGCAGACTAGATGGGCGAAATGCCGTCACATTCTATGTTTCTATGAGTAACTATACATTAATAATCAATACACTGCTCTGTATAATGATACGGAATATTTTCACACCGATAATTAACACACTGCCATGTATAATGATGCAGAGTATCTATACACTGTTAATGAACACAACGCTCTGTATAATGATACTGAGTATCTACAATTTGCTAATGAACATGGTGCACTGCATAATCAAATAATAACACAAATGTAATATAACATACATAAAACATTGTTACTAACCTAGGTAATTAATACAATGCTATTATTAAATGTGTGGTTATAAGACCATGTTCTGTGAATCATTTCCTTACCTGTGTAATGTATGAGAAAATACAGAAAGGATAGAACCTTCATCTGGAAGAAACGTTGCATTATCCCCAGGTCCATTGCGCGGGATAAGTAAAATGTCCTTAGAATTAAAGGGATACAATGTATGAAATGTTTACTTTTAAGTGTCCAAATGAACAAATGTCCTTTAACTCCTTAATAGCCCTTTTTATAGGAGGAGGGCGGGCAGATGGCTATATTCTGAGTGATTTATATTTAAAGTTAGGTGTCAGTGAATGTTATACTATATAATGTGTGGAATGAGCAGAAATGCTTAAGGCTTTCGCAGTTAGGACACTTAACGGCACGGAACATGTCCAAACACCCAGATCTGTTCATTACCTGTTAACGTGCACAGCTATCAACTTTCAGTCTATCACTTATTAGAAAAATATACATTTTGCAATGATGCGTAAGCCTATGCTTTATAGATTGCAAGCCTCGCTGGATTGAAAATTGCCCAATATGAAATTTGGACCAGTATAGACGATGGGACTCCAGAAAGCAATACAATTAAAAGGTTTTATTGCAGAAACAAAAAATTCATATTATAACTTTCTGGAGTCCTATCGTCTATACTGGTACAAAGGCCAAGAGCAGGGGTCCTTGATCAGCCTCCAAGGGGAGGCACCATTTTGTGAGTGCCACATTGTTAGTGCATGTATCGCAATTTAACTATTGCTAAAATATTGTGCTTTTGTTTTTTGTAAATCTTTAGCTGAATCCACTGTATGTGTTTGGTTATATTTGCTCTTGTCAGAATATATTCTGGGATATCATTAAAGGAACCTGTATATTATAAAATAAGTCTACCATTCTTTTTACCCCACTTATCACTAAATTGGTGAGGGTATGTGTGTAACAAAGAGCATGGAGCAACTGGCCAGGCTTAGCTTAGTGACAGCTTCCGGCAGCAGAGGAGGCAGTGGTGGAATTCTATCAGACCCCAAATTCAGGGCCATCTTTAATGTGGGAAAATGGGGTATTTGTGTATGTGTCAGTTTGTGTATATGTTTGTCAATGTGTGTGTATGCATCAAGATGTGTGTATGTGTCCAGGTGTGTGCATGTGTCAGTGTGTGTATCTGTGTATTAATGTGTATGTAGATCTGTGTAAGTATGTATGTGCATACATACCAATAATCAAACACAGCTAGCATACACACACCTGCAAACACCAACATTACATAACAACACACCCCTGAATGCAAATTCCAAAATTATATACAAACCCATCCAAACACCAACACTACACACAAATGTGTATCCACATTTAAAATACAACACTGCATCCAAACACACCCATGCATGCAAATGCAAACATTACAGGTGTACTCATAAATGTGCATACCCTGGCAGAAATTGTGAAATTTTGGAATTGATTTTAAAAATATGACTGATCATTTAAAAAATTATTGTATTGCAGGATAGTGATCATATGAAGCCATTTATTATCATATAGTTGTTTGGCTCATTTTTAGATCATAATTGTAACATAAATCACCCAAAGGGCCCTGATCAAAACTTTACATACCCCTGAGTGTTTGTCCTTGTTACAAACACTCAAGGTGACACATACAGGTTAAATGGCAATTAAAGGTTAATTTCCCACAGGCCTATAGTGAATAGAATACCATCTCCACTAAGAAGCATGTTGGTGGCTCACTGATGTTTTAGAGGGTGTGAGGTCTAAGGGCACAGGGAATCTTGTGAAAACTGATGGCAAGATGAATGCAGCATGTTATCAGAAAAAACAGACAATTTGCATTCTTGCGCACAAAGGCTGTGCATGGGACACTCTTGAACTTTCCTTCATGACAATGACCTCAAGGTCAAGTTAAGCTTCCATTGCTTACAGCAGACAAAGGTGAACGTTATGGAGTGGTGATCACAGTCTCCTGACCTTAATTTCATCAAGCCATTCTAGGGAGATTTTAAACGTAAGTTCGTGTAAGATGACCAAAGACTCTGCATGACCTGGAGGCATTTTGCCAAGACGAATGGGCAGCTATACCACCTGCAGGAATTAGGGGCCTCGGACAACTCTTACAAAAGACTGCACGCTGTCATTGATGCTAAAGGGGGCAATACACAGTATGAAGAACTAAGGGTACGCAGACTTTTGAACAGCGGTCATTTCATTTGTTTCTTTGTTGCCATGTTTTGTTTTATGATTGTGCCATTCTGTTATAACCTACAGTTGAATATGAATCCCATAAGAAATAAAAGAAATGTGTTTTGCCTGATCACTCATGGTTTTTTTTACCAATTCTCCAAGGGTATGCAAACTTTTGAGCACAACTGTAGTTCCAGTGAGCTAAGCAACCAGGAGTTAAGAGGACAAGTTGTCAGCCATGGGGTTGTAACAAGGTAAATTTAAGAATGTGAATTTTTTTGTTTTATTTACTTTTTGTAAAATAAAACAAATAGGACACACTCATCACACATAAGTCACTTCAGAAAGCTAAAGTGCTTAAAGTGCTATAGGTGTTTAGAGTATTTATTTAATTGTCTAATTGTCTGCATTACCTATGCTTCACCTAGTGTGTAAAAATCTGTGAGAAAAATGCAATTATAAGATATGAAAGAGATAAGATATTCTCTAGAAAGAAGAAGTCAGATGATGGGGAAGTTGACCAAGTGTTCTGCTATTGGCAGAGAGAAATGGATCCATGCTTTGAGTGTTAAAGTAATTGTGGCGAAGTGCCCTTCACCACTTGTGCCTGGAGAGGACCAATTGCCAACCTCTTGCCGTGTGACTATGGCACCTGGGAGAGTTTGCCCTTTAAAAACGTTATTTGGGCATATTGGATTTTTTTGCACTGCTTCTGCCCCTTTGATTCCATGGGAGTATGTGCATCTTCCCCTTTTTCCTGTCCCATTGTTCTCCAGCAGGGCGTTGTCCCAGGGACACTGCCAGACCATTTGAAACAAGCTGCTTTGTCCATCATTAATCTCTCATCAGCCCTTGCTATTGTTTAACCCCATGGCGATCCAGCTGTATTGGTGAGTGTAACGGACCGTTTTGCTCACAAGGGGTAAAAACCGTTTAGGCGATCGTCCCCCTTTCCAGAGATGCAGGCCCAGCTACTGCAGAACACCAAACTCCCGAACAGGATACCAAGTAGCACTCCAAATTCCCGAACTGGAACCTCACGAATAGCTGCTAGCAGCTGAACAGGAAAAGCACTCAAGCAACTTACATTCCTGGCAATCAGTCTCTAACAGCATACAGTGAATCCCCCCAAGAACGAGACAAGGCTCCGTGTTGAGGGTCAAGCAGTGGTCTGAGGTGCTGGCACACCCAGCCTGGTTTTTATTACAGTCTTGCAAATACAGGACCGCCCACAGGGAGGTATAAAACAACCAATCACATCACAGTTACATCCCACATATTCCCTCCCCTTATCCTGAGAGGAAACTCAATTATACATACAGTTAAAACATACTTTCTACCCAACCTTCATAACTCTAAAACCATACATCACATTCACATAAAATTACATATTCACAATCAATCCATTCAGGGGAACAACATATAAAAAAATGGCCTAAATCAGACCAGGGGTTCAAAAGTTAGTAAAAAGTCCTTTGTGACTAAATGAAGCATGGCTTTCTGGCCCAAACCAGTTTCAGAGTCTTCTATCCTGGAGAGTAATTCAATTATCTCCCAGGACAGACACAAGACTCCATTAAGCACATGGTTTCAAAAAGACACAAAACACTTTAAAATACATAAAGTCACATTTATTACATAAAACACAGACATGTAACATATCCCCAGATAGCTCAGGTCTGAGCGCACATTATTAAGTGAATGGCGCTCAGACCACACGAATACAGTTTAATCGCCATGGAGCCAAAGTCTTTACAGTCAGTTTCATATGAATGGGCTCCATGGGATTCCTATCAGGGGTATAACACATTCAACCAAAACTACCGAACACCGGGCAGAAAAGCACGAATGAAGCTTTTCTGCAGGTAAAAAAGATGTCTTTTAACAGGGGGCCATAGTCCAAAGGCAGCAGGCGAGCAACCAGGCTTCTCCAATGCAATGTGGCGAGATTGGTCTCGTCACAGTGAGCTCTAAATGCTTTTCGGACAAATTGAGCACTCAGATACAAGCTATCTGGGGATATGTTGGACACATAGGTTAAACATTGTATTATATAAGTTATGTATTTTTATGTAGTTTTATAACAGTTTTTGGACTTGGATATTTTCTGTAACTGGAGATAATTATCTTACCACACCCACTTAAGCCAATTATCTCCAGGAGAGAGGAGAAGATAGAACGGCTGCACAGCCTAAATCTGTGGAACTGTTTTGGGCATGAAAGCCATGCTTGCAGTTGGTCAAATAATACATCGCTCTATCTTTTGAACCACTGGACCAAATTATATGATATGTTCAGAATATGTAACTTTTATGGAAATTGTATATATAGTTTTGAAGTTATGAATATTGGGTAAAACTGTATATTTTCCTGCCTATGATAATTAAGTTAGCCCATTGCGTTTAGTAATTATATCACAGGCAGAGGGGAGGGTTTGTGTGCCTTGGATGGGAGTGTCTGACTATACTGTAATGTGTTTGATTGGTTGCTGTAACTCTGAGTCCTATGTACCACAAGGTCCACGTGGGTGGTAACCTTGTGGGAAAAGGTGTATATAACAGCAATAAAGCCTCAGTGCATTCTGTTCCTGTTTGACCCTCAACACGTAGTCTTGTCTCGTGATTGGAGGGGAACTGCTATAATCACACTGGGGATTGCTATACTTTGTATACTCCTTTGAGCTCTAATCACTTAGCTCTTTTAAGAGCTGTTCCTGATACTCTCTACTGGAGGAGAGGTCTTTTCCACATGGTCCTGGAGGACAGAAGCTGATCCAGGTTGGAATGAAGACAGCGAGACTCCAGTTAAGCTACGGCGGTTGTGGAGTCTGCAGTGGTTGCATTGTCCGGTGCAGTGCTTGTGGTCCTCGGCGAAGCTAGGACGCGTCCATCAACGGAAGGTACTCGGTTGGAGTACAGGTAATCTGTTACAGTAATGAATACTACTTATGACCAACTAATATATTAGTTTTCAAAAAATCTTATATGATCATTTGGTATTAAAAATAAAACATTGATTATATTTTTTTTTTTTTTTAAAACACATAAATCTTGTTATGAAGGTTAAATATGTGTACAAAACTGCTTTGCTTGAAAGGGATAGTGTGATGGACTGGTCCGGTCACCATGACAACTGGTGCAAGACTCTAAGATAAACCCTCAAAATAGAGCCAAAATCACCTTGCTCACCTTCAACCCCGCAGAGCTTAGTCAACTTCTGAGCTGGCTTTGAGGACTTCAGGAGACCACCTAGACTCATCCTAAGCACCAAGTTCCTGATCGAGAGATCTCCTGAATTATTCTGGAACTGCTAACCGGATTGGAACTGTGATGTGCTCTGGAGATCCGGGTATTGCTCAGTCTCTTGACCACCAAGCAGAGTGCTATTTGGTGGTGAAATGGGGGTGGTGATGAATGAGGTGGTCAGCAGCCCCAAGGACTTGTTTAAGCTTCCGTTTAAGGGGCTTTTGATGGGTTCTGGAAGCCGTTATTTAAGACTAGGAATTATCATAAAACAGCCTGGAACTCTGTGCTTGATTTGTGGATGGCTGTTGCCCGATCAAACCAGTGATAACTCTTGAGCCAAACACCTCTGATCTAGGTGATTTTATGGATAACCTATATATCATAAACATAGCTCTTATGGGATATAAAACTTGTGAATAACATCCTTGTGTCTGGTAGCTAATTACATTATCTGACCTTTGATTAAGTTATGTTCCAGACACCAAGGCACCTAAGTGGGATTATATTGTGATATCCACCCCTTGTGCATGTCTTAATTAATGTCTGTGAGTTTTGGAATAAAGTATGCTGGCTTGGGGATACTGCTATAATCATTTTTAAAATCATGCTCCAGAGAAATGGAATACTTGGCGGAGGTACTCAGTTACAGTACAGGAGCTCCATTATAGGTAGCAGACAATTTGTCTTTCTTATTGTACTGCAACTATACACATGAATACCTAAGAGGACCTTCCATTCTGACATTTATTGTTATTAGGTGACTCAACACACTGATTGAATACATAGTGTGCAACAATAGCAAAACTGGAGAAAAATTATTTTAATAGACAGTTCACATTTATTAAAAAGCAAAGTATTAACTCAAAAGTTATTTAAATTACTTCTGATATCGGTAGTGGA